GTATCAGATATGTACATGGTAGATACTTGAAGGCCATGTCCTAAATTTGAACAGTGGAATAACAACATACTGGAATGAAAGATACGGAAGGAAATACAGAATAGAACCAGTGAGGAGTAAAGCTGCCATAGGCACAATCAGAGAGCACTGTCTGAACATCAAAGGTCCACAGCTGTTCAACACCCTCCCAGCAAACATTAGAAATATTGTTGGAACAAAGGTGGATGTATTCAAGAGGCACTTGGATAAGTTCTTGCAAGAAGTGCCGGACTAACCAGGCTGTAGTGGATATGTGGGCCTGCAGGCCACTCCAAGCAACAGCCTGTTGGACCAAGTTTATCACAAGTCGTGCCTAGCTTCAGGCCGGGCACGGGGAGTAGAACTCCCAGAACCCTCAGGCAGGCTCCAGGTAAATAAAGGAACCCAGTCTTTGGAACTCGCTCCCTGACGAATTAAAAAAATTGTCCAGCCTATGCCAAAGTAAAATAAAAAACTTACCTACCTAATTTCATCCTCATAGTTTCCTACCATGTGCTTCAAATTCACATTATCTTGTACTACCCTCTTCCCAAATATTAGTACTTACATCTTTACCAGTGTAATCATCTCGGTCAATTTATATTGTAGTTATTTGACATAAAACCTAGCTACAATGTACCTCATCATGCCTGACATGAGGTACATTGGTAAGTCCTTACATGAGTAAGGACTTGCCCGAAATGCTCGCTATGCGTGTTAAGTGGCTTAGCAGAAATGTATAAATACCAATCTTATGTAATCTCACCAACCCATTGTACCTTCTTGTGAATAAATTATTATTATTATTTATTAATTTTTAAGTGTGTTACTGCTGTCCGCCATTACCGTTCTCTTAACGTTTTCTTCATCCACTCGGATCGTCTTGATTCTTGTCTGTTTCAGAGTTTTATGACATACAACATTCTGACAAAATTGTCTATACAGTATACCTAGGTCATAAAAGTATTTGTGTGTACGTCTGATACCTTACTACTTGTGTAAAGGAGGAAATGTATATGTTTATCTCTCAGAATGTTCGGTAATGTTTATTGTTTGTGATGTGTGTATATGTATGTATTAACACGATGTACTGAACGGGGTGAGAATAGCTTGAGCTACCTCATCCCTTTGTGTGTATTTTACCTCAATAAACTTATTTCAATTTCAATTTCAACATTCTGACACTCATCAGCTGCCTCATTCAATAATATTCCCACATGTGAAGGGATCCACATGAATCTTACTTTATACCCATTTTTTCTGTTTTAACATAAAGAAACAAACGGGCATTTTTACCACATTTGACTACTTCCTGTAATCCTGCTAATACAGCGTGAAGTTCAGCCTGCGTTGAAGAGACGTGTCAGTTATGCAGTGTCCAATAACAGTATCTACAGTGCCTTTGTCAGTCAGTGTACTCCCTAATCAAAGACTCCGCACCCTGCCTTTCCATCCCTAGCTACTGACCCCATCACAATATACATGTAGTGTTTTCTGTAGGTAATTTTGTAATTATACAATCATATGTTGCCCTTAGCTCTCCTTTCTCATGCATACTTTTCTTTCTTTTGCAGGAAAATAATTACTACATCTACGTTACAATCCTCCCATAATGGTGTAAATTGTCTCTTACGCTAAGAAATATATTCTGGAATAACATCATACTTTATAAGCTTAGAACAAAAGTATAATAAGACTGAATATGAGTACCTTAACATACATTGTTCATTACTTCCTACCTTTTGAACAGATTAATTCATTAGCTCCCCCTCCTCTCGGTAATCTAATCAGAGGCTACATCTCCGAAATTCTATCCCTGATATATCAAGTTCAAGTTCAAGTATGTTTATTGAGACAAGAAAAAAATACATCTCAAAGGGATAGAGTAGCTTAGGCTATTTCTACCCCCCTCTACTTCAAGTCCCTCAAGGGGCGCACAAATTCAGTGAGTACAGATACACAAATCACAATACAACATTTAACATTGCATATTAATATAGTAAGTGTTACAATCATTGGGGCAAAATTCTTGTAGTTCCTAAGTATTCTGTCTATCATATCATTATCACACATCCAAACAATTTGAAGTGGTACACTACTTATTTCCTTATTTCTATGGTTATCCATAATTTGACACTTTAATACATAATGGTCTTCCAAGTTCAAGTAGGTTTATTGAGACAAGTTAAAAAAAAAAAAAAAAAAAAAAAAAAATCAAGATTAGCTTAGGCTATTTCTACCCCTTCCCATACTTCAAGTCCCTCAAGGGGCGCACAAATTCAGTGAGTACAAATACAAGAATCCCATGTAACATATCAGGTTAATATAGTACTATCTAAGAGTATAATAGTGTACATCCACCGCACTAGATTTTAACCCATTAACGCTCCAAGATAATATTCTCACTCTACTTTCATCCATGATTTAATAAAACTACCTTTGCCCTGTCTGTCACATTCCATGAGATACGAGATTTTCTCAGACAGACTCTCCCAACACTAACATTTCTGCTTTCTCCTCATTTGCACAACAGCTACTAGCATCAAAGGTGATCTTATTCATATCTAATTTCTTTCTTATTTCTCTATACCGTTTTACTTTAACCTTTGTTTCGACATTTGTCACTACAGAAGGTTGAACGCTAACACTACTAGAAAGTTCATTTTCCTGACTATCCTCTATCATCAATACGTCATGTCTTTACCACGTTGGACAGGGTAAAGATTCAGAAGACAGAAAATAAGATTCAGCTACTGGGAACAAAAAGTTCCAAGTAGCTCGGGCTATGGTGAGCCCGTAGTGGACTTACCTGGCACAGGAGCGGAGCTCTAACTGGATTTACCCTGAAATAAAATATCATCGGCATATATGACCAGAGTTGCCCCATTTGAGTATTTCAAAATTGAATAATAAGTTGACCCTTCCTACAAGTGGGTAGGTTGCCAATTTTCAGGTGAAAAGTACTAAGCCGTTACAACTATATAGCACTTCGAAAGGATGAGGATAAGGATTTGGGATAGGACAAAGGAAAGGAATGATGCCCAACCTCTTGGACGGTCAGGGATTGAACGCAGACCGATAGGTAGAAACTAAGTGATTGTAACCTATCCACCGTTGCCCACTGGATGGGGGGCGGTGGGCAGGACAAAAATATAAATTGACATCAGCTCTCCACATGTCAGTTGCTTAATTTAGAAACTGTACTTGTTTATCTGAAGCCCATTGATGTGACGATGTGCATTGAATTTTGTAACTATCTCATCAAGATTGTAACTTGCTTAGCTAAATGAATTGTGGGGGTTCAGTCCCTGAGCTAATTATGTCCCACTGTAACCCTTTCCCCTACCGTCCACAAGATGGGTATGGGGTGCATAATAAATGAACTAGATCTGCAAGCAGACTTGTATATGAAAAGGCAGGGTAAAGGCAAGCATGGGATTGTTATGCACATAGGCCCACTTTGGGGGCCTGATGGCTGAATGGACAGTGCTCGGTATTCATAGTCTTAGGTTCCGGGTTCGATCCCCGTCGGAGGCGGAAACAAATAGGCAGTAGCAGCTACGGGCTGCTTCCTGGGGATGTGTAACAAAAAGGAGGCCTGGTCGAGGACCGGGCCGCGGGGACGCTAAGCCCCGAAATTCTCAGGACAACATCGTTAATATTGGAGGAAATGAGAAACCCCATTTATGCTATGCGGGGGATTCAGACCAGCCATATGGGTACTACCTAGTGCACGCTTTAAACCACTTAACGATATGTTGTAATGTAACCTGGGAAAACCCACGTACCACACCACGTACTCTGATGTGGTAGTTCTTCCACCATTTCAAATGCACAAAATAAAATCACATTAACATTATGTATCAAAGATAAAATTATTTAACAGCCATGTTACTGGTTTGAATGACCTCCCCAAGGTTTAAATCGTTTTTCTCGTTGATGGGATTTCTTTATGCATTTGAAGAACGTTAACAAAAGAAATACTTGACACGCCAGTATACAGTGGTATTGTGTAAAAACTTGCTTTGGTATCAGTTCGATGCCTGAAGACCTCTAGCGCATTCAATGGAACTTCACATTACATTATTTACAGCGTATTGTGGCTCAGTGGCTAAGGCGTGCGATTAAGTCCTATATTGTTGGTTCGAATGCCCCGCACAGCTGCAATTGAAGATGAACTACAAGTTTTGCATGATCCTTTGATTAAAGTTATGACTTATTAAAGTTTTCAGAATAGACCTTGAAAGTTTAAGAGAACTCAAAGTGGCTGGTACAAAAAAATGTGAAATGTAGGTAGGCCTACTTAAACAAAAATAAAGGTCAAAAGAATTGCAAACTACAGTATTGCATTATGGCGTGGTAGGCCTACGCTTGTGTACAGGTAAGGGAATAATGTACTATTAGAACATAGAATTAGAGCAAGAAATTGGCAACAAGATGCATGGTAGAGGAAAAAAGTAAGTCATAGAAAGATGTGGAAACAAATTGCTAGACAATACATTGGACGAAAAACTACATTAGTGTGAAAAGCATTAAAAATTAGACAAGAGTAGAGGAAGACCTAAAATTTGAGATAAAATAAGGGACAAATGTGCAGAGCACAAATTAAAGTGAGTTTGAATTAAAGTGAAAGGGGAAAATCATGTACGTAATAATACGGGGTTCCATTTTTACAAATTACACCAAGTTATTACCTCATATTTTATGACTATAAATGTAATGTGGTTACTTGAAAAAAATGGTTACTAGATAAAATATCTAGGAACAATTAAATAAAGATGGATAGAAAGTAACTATCAAAAGGATGACTATCAAGATTGAAAGTGATTATCAAGACGGCAAGACTAGCACCATTAAAGTTGCATGATGTTCAAAAGGCCCTAGATATCTCCAAGGATGCCAATATGAGAACAAAAGTGCATAAGGCTAGCGATATCATAGGTTGTAGTGAATGAGTACAGGTTTCAATAAAATAATCTTTCTTTCAATTTCAAGAGTTTATTTCTTAATTGACCTTCTGCGCAAGCCTACGATCACGCTCCTCGGCAATGCTTAGTTTGATGCCCTTACCACGTGGTAGAGACACATAGGCCTTGTTACCCTTACCAATGACAAACACGTTGTTCAATCTGAAAGGAAAAAATTTATGTAAGTACCGTACAATGCACAAAATGTTCACTCTAGAATAAATATCATATGATCAATTGAGGTTCCCACCCTTACACAAGGTAAGGCAATTATCAAACCTTACTTACACAAAGGCAAGTCAATATTTCTGGATACAAAAAATGAGTATTGAATACAGAGGGTATAATTAATGACTAAAAAAAATATAAAACTAACTAATATTGGGATTAGCGGTGAAGTCTTAAAAGTCTTATTCACTCGTACCTCCCTTCTTGATCTAACAATATACCAGGTACATTTTTTAAATCTGCTTCAAGTTAAAGTTCTGCACTGCAACTGCTCTTAGCAGAGAAAATGCAGGCCTTTCACACCCTGTGCGAAAGGTACTTTTCATAACTTTTCAGCCACTTGAAGAGTGTGTGAATGCTTTCTAATCTCTCTTGTTTGCACTTCCAATTACTATCATGTTCTTGTTTAATTTTCTCTAAATTTAATCTGATGCATACAATTAACATTCACTTTTAGTACTATCTTACACAATTTCTCTAGCCATTAGGCTGCTAGGAAATTACTGTACTGCCCTGTTCTATGGCCTTCATGCTCAAATAAGTGAAGTCCCATCCAGGGCAGAGTTAATTTTGGCTCCATATGAAACCCCTTAGTGATTATGCAACTTAGGAGGCACTTTTGGAGCCGTTTTAAACAGTAATAATGTCCTGAATTTCATATAATTAACTTAAAAGCCCTAGCATTTTATCAGCAAGTTAGCTAATGCAATCTCGGGTAATGTACACTGTCAATACTTAGTAATTACTAACAGTATCAACCAGTGCTCAGTTAATATTTTATATAATAAAAAAGAAACACTTCCATCTAGAAACACTAGAATTTGTTCACTTGCATCTAGTTCGCAGAAACATCTGGTATTTACATTTCTATGTCGGGAAACAGAAAACTTTCCAAAGGTAGAGTACAGTATATTGTATTATAGAATCCTTGGCACCTTTAAGAAAGGAATGAAAGTTTGAGATTAAAAAAATAGAATTATTCAGTATCTAACGTACAGCTAATCCCATGCATTCTTACCTGGTGGCAAAAGTGTGACCTACAGCATCCTTAATGTGAACGATGTCAAAGCTTCCAGCATGACGCTCACGGGACACGATGGTTCCTACACGACCCAAGTTACGGCCACCAGTGATCATGCACAAGTTTCCTGAAAATGTGAATGTATAATATAATGTATTCACATTTGTATTAATGGAGGGGAAAAAATCAAACACTTACCAATGGTAATAATGAAGACTATTACAATTAATATTGCAGAGAAATTACTGGTACCTTAATATACAATTATGCACAAATTATTACCATATTCTGCAGGAACTATATCAAGCAAATAAGCTCTTTCACCTAGTATTGTGTACCAGCCATTCAAATCAAAGCCATTCATAATGTTAGCCCTTTTACGGCAGCAAAAATTTTGTCTGGTCCACCCAGGGTTGAAACCCAAGTGATCCATGGATCGGGAAACATGTTCCTAAGAAAAAGATTATCATATATAACCAATGAGCATACTGGCCAAAGGCCAGTATGCTCATTGGTTAATTTTTTTGGTTAACCTTTTTGATTACTTCAACCATACTTTAATGTTTTTTAAATATTAGTTAAATACAAAAATTTTGCTGTATTTCAATCCTCAGAGGGACCAGTGTGAATTAAGTTGTGTCAAAAGTGAATGGGTTGATCATTCTAGCATTCATAATATTGTGTGCATACAACATTACACCATTTCCCATTTTCATCTGATGAGGCATCAATCCAGACTTTCAATAATAGCAGTAAATTTCTACTGCTGTAATGCATTTCATGCACATCCACCACGCCTCAATAATATATACGAGTCAGCACCACAACTCCATTCAGATATTTAGCTGCATCTATTTCTATTGCTTCTCCTAACCAGGGTTTTTCATAGTACTCGCTTCATGCAGGTCGGCATTCAATCCCCGACTGTTCAAGTGGTTGGACACCATCCCTTCCCCCCATCCCATCCCAAATCCTCATCCTGACCCCTTCCCAGTGCTATATAGTTGTAAGGGCTTGGCACTTTTTCCTGATAATTCCATTCCATTCCATTATTTTACAATTTCCATTTTGTGCACAATTCCCTACAACCTACCACCACATTACTTTTGCCATAGTATACTTTTTAATAGTGTTCTTTTGCAATTCATACTTTTAAACTAATCTACAACTCTAGCTACTCCACTCACAGTGCACCGCAGGTTAGACCGACGTTGCTCGTGAGCTCACAACCCAACTTTAAAGTCTTACTCACAATGTTTATACTTACAAATAAGAATAAGCAAAAATTAATTCTCGACAGCGTTGTGGTCATCCCCCAAACAGCTGTATTGTATTGTATGACTGCGTGACGTCAACGCATCCTCCAAATAAACAGTACACTTTAATACTAAATATAATAAGCACATTCCTTACCATCTGCATAGTACATACACTTAACACTTTCGCGCTCACTGCGTTCTGAAAAAAACTTACCCTATGTGCATTCGGCGTTTCGCGCGCCTACGCGGTAAGACCGAAAAAATGTACTCTTTTGACTGTCCTGACAATAATTGAAGGCGCACGTATTTAAATTTGGTATCACTGTGTTCGTAATAAAATTGTCTATAAAGAACATACCTATAAAATGCCGCCAAAGCATAAGGACTATCAACACCAAATAAAAAACTATTCAGATCACTCGCCGAGAGCGCCAAACACCAACAAAATGTTTCCACTCTCTTAATGGTTGCGAAGCCTACAGTTGTCCTACATCGCTAATTGTGGTATCATTGGAATCGCAATAAAATTCTCTACACGGACATATGCATATAAATATAGATTCAATGTCGTAGCCCACCCAAAAAGTGTGGGAAGTGGCCGAAGTGTTACCTGCGGCGGCATATCGGCAAAACTCGCTTTGAAAAGTGTATATTCAATTCACTGTCCTGACATTATTTTTCGATGTATTTCATTTTTGTTCCAATGTGTTCGCAATAGAATGTTCTATAAGAACATAAGTATTAAAGGTCACATAAGGATGCGTTCAACTGGCAACATACATAAAAACTACGTCGATTATACTCGTCGTGTCAATAATACAATTGTTTTACCACGATGATTCACTGCCACGCCGTTCTCTTTAATAAGCTGTTCGGCTATTAGAAAAACGTAAATTTCATAGCAAACATTTGTAAACTATTCCCAAGTTGATCGGATAATAATTGGATTTTATACAAATATTTTTTCTCGTGACTCCCGAGAGGGTCACGCCCGCGGTGTGATTAATAATATTGGTGATGACCACGGTCATCACGGATGCTCGAAAGTGTTAATTGTGTCGTTACATTTACCTGCCCATATATTCTCCATTTTCTGTTAAGACACTCAAAATTTTAGGATGAAGTTTTCATGTTCAATTCTATATACACATGTTTTAAATACCTGTATAAGAATTTCTTTCAGTTTTATTAAACAATAGAGATTTTATGCAAAATTTGAAAATATCCTGTTACTTTATAATTTATTGAAAGATTTTAGTTTTGTTGTATTAGTTTTATAAAATTGTAATAATATAGCTATAGGTTAAGTACTAATTGTAATTAAGACGCAATAAAATGCTTGTCCTCCTATACTAAGAAGGTTACGTTAGGTCGTGGTTTTCTATACAGCTTTTTAGGTAAACTAATATTCACAATATTTTGGTGCGATTCTGGTGATTAAAGTATGTATTTATGTACTAAGCTGGTAGTCAGGATTGCACTTATTACATTCAGTATTAAAACGTACTTTCTTTTCGGAGGAGGGGCTGGTGAACATCATCATGACACCAAAGTGTTAATAACCAGTGATATAACAACCCTGGTAAATACATATCAAACTACCTCTTTACACAATTAACAGCACACTTAACTCCATGTGTTAACTAAAAGTACACAAATGCCATGTAACCTTACAATCTTCCTCTCATGCCTTCTCTCTAAGCTATCTCAATGCCGGTACTGTACTCTTCAACCAGCTTGCCAAGGGCAACCCTAATTTCTTTCGGCAAACTTTTACAGTAGCCAAACCAGCACAAAAAAAGATTTGACTTGTGTGAACCTTTAAGAGTAATCCTCTTAATTATTGAGTATTTTACCATGTGGAACATGGCAACAAGGACCTATAGGTGAATTTAACCTGTTAATGTAGCATCACTGGGTAATGCTAGATTAAATTTCAACATCAATCCAGCGACCAATGAGATGGACATGTTCTTGGCCCCCTACTGTGCCCACAACCACACAAAGCAGAAGGGGCACTTTAAAAAGCCTTAATTAAACAAAATTTTACTTTTTCTCCCACTTTCATGTGATCAATACAAATCTGTAATTTAGAATACACACTAGAAATGTGGTCCCTACAACCACGAACATGGCAGTAACCTATAATTTGAAAAGATTTGCTGTTTACCAAGAAACTGACTGAAAATCTTTGTATAATTGGTAAACATTCTTTTAGCATCTTATAAAGCCCAATAAACTAATATGCCAGTTGTAATTTTCTATAATACAAACTAATTACAAGTATATACAAAGGTTTATAAATACATACATTATGCATTAATGTATCTCATCTTGAAACAAACATACAATACCCAGTATATGGAACAAAAATCTTACCTGAATCAAACTTAATGAAATCCTTCATCTTTTTTTTCTCAATGTCATACAGGATTGAATCGTTGACCTTGACCAAAGGGTCTGGGTAACGCAAGGTGCGACCATCAGAGGTGACAAGGAAAGGTACACCTTTGGGGCCAACAGATACCTTCTTTACCTTACACAACTTGTACTGAAATAAAATGAATTGCAATAAGTAATTATCAAAAGGCACCAATAAAAAAAATTTGGCTAGTAAACATTCATTGCCACTTCAGTTCCTTTCATAGTTTTCAACAAAGTCTAAGCTCAAGAAACTGCAGCCTACTGGTAAAAAAACAGGCAAATTAAATGAAACTAACCCAACAAAATTGACAAATGAAACTAGTGCATGGTGAATTTCCATATGAATTCTAATTAAATTAGTCCAATCAATAGCGGAAGTACTCGCCGGTCTTAGCGATGCTCACAACATCTGCAGTAAATAATATATTATATTACAAATTTATTACATCTAGGTAATGTCATGATTACCTTTATAGCCCAATGTGTGTATAGCTCTCTCTTGGGAGCTCCCCATTAATGGGTGGTCACAACAGCAATTTCTCTAAGCTTTATCACCACAAAATTTCCATTTAGCTCTGACCTCACCTCAAATTTTCATCTGTAGTGTTCCACTCTTCCCTTTAAGAGATGCTGTACTTGACAGGCATTTTACTAAAACATCCATACTACCTCAGTGTATTGCATTCACCCACTCCATGACTCCACATATCATAACCTCACCCAAATCACTCATTCCTCTTCTCATTTACTTATCCCATATACTTTTATCGGACAAATACAACAAAACATACCTTTAGATAGCCACTATGGGAGGGCAAAGATATTGTTACTGTACTCTGATATTTAAATCTCAGGGGAAATAGATTTGTCAGCAAAGGAGTTCTCAGGAAAGTCTAAACTTCATGGTACATCAAGAATCCAACAAGAGGAAGGGGCTTTAGTCATGCCCACTGAAAATGGGGATGATGTACAGAACTTTGAATACGAGGTGGCAAGACATGGATGACAACTTATGTTGTAGTTGTAATGGTTATGTGGGCCTACAGGTCACCCTAAGCAACAGCCTGTTGGACCAAGTTATCTAGTCGAGCCTGGTACCAGACTGGATTAGGGGAACTTGTGAAATCCTCTCCATACAAGTTGGTGTAACAGACAATGCAAAAAGAAAAAGATAAAATGCATGGAAAACATATAGGACTGATACATCCAACTGATACATGGATACATCCATGAGCACAAAAAGGCACCAAGGAACACCAGGAATGAGTTCACAAGACTTAAGTGGTCAGCAGAACAGCAGTTTGAAAATAACATTACAACAGAAGTAGCCACATAAGCTATTATAGTCATACACAGAGGATATGTAGTCTGACTGCAGGAACAGGGAGTAATGCTCAAGAAGAATGACAAAGTCTGAGGTAAGGGGGATTACATGGTTCCAGGCATAAAATCTAACAAAATTGGTGTTCAAGTAAGAGGTGATAGTCAGCAAAAAAGCAATGCTCGACAATATGTAGAAGAGCTATACACATGTAAAAAAGACTGGATGTAGTAAAAGCTGTAGGAATGGGCCAGGTGTCTGTATACTTAATAAGGTGAACACGAAACAATGGGTATAAATTGGATAAGTTTAGATTTAGGAAATCCCTGGGTAATTACTGGTTCGGTAACAAGGTTGTTGAATTGTGGAACCAATTACCGCGCAACATAATAGAAGTAGGATCCCTTGATTGTTTCAAGTGTAGGTTAAGACAAATATACGAATTAGATTGGGTGGATATAAATAGGAGCTGCCTTGTATGGGCCAATAGGTCTTTTGCAGTTACCTTCATTCTTATAAATGCAGGGAATCAATCTTGCCCACTAGAGCTCACAAAAACACAACCGAAGTCTCCCAGAATATCTGGAATTGACAACTTAGCAGATAATCAATGCTTTTCATGAAATGGTATCCCAGTGGCAAGGACTGCTTACCTTGAGGTGCCTACCCCTAAGAGACACCACTGCACAAAACCCTCGGCTCCCTTACTTTTACTTTACCAGACATGGGTTCCATGCTGGAGAGAGGGCCTAGGACTAGCCTAACATTATATTTACCGTTTAGATTCTAATGATGCCTTGCATAGGTTCTTTAATGACTTTCTGCACATGCACATAAGGTAAAATATCAAACGTTCCACTGACATTTTGATGAAAAGTTACTTAACAGAGTATTAAAAAAACTAAATCTGTCTCCAACTTGGCTAATGCTGAGAATAATTTATATCTCAACTGCAAGAACCAAGATTAATTTTAATTTTGCTCCTATTTTGACCAAGATTGACACATGTCAAGTATGGCTTCGATTAAGAGCTTAAATTTTAATGCTTACCCCCTATGAGAACACTGCATCACCTCTACTACCCTACTTGTACTTCACCTGGAGTTTCACGCTGGATATACCTGTACATATTCTCGGATTGGCCTAATGTACACTATGTACCATGTAGATATTAAAGGATTCATTTCATTGGTTCTTGAATGTCATTCTATCATGAACATGCATAAAACTAGAGCAGCAAACTTTCATTCTTTAAAAACTTTTGCCACTAAAGCTTTTCTTCCCAACTTCTCTCATTCCACCAGAAGCATTCAAAACCTACACCACCATTAATCTATGATGTGACCTTGTGCATACTACAATATTATATATGTATACAAACGATGAGTTACAATAATGTGACTGAAATATGTTGACCAGACCACACACTAGAAAGTGAAGGGACGACGACGTTTCGGTCCGCCCTAGACCATTCTCAAGTCCATTGTGAGAATCGACTTGAGAATGGTCCAGGACGGACCGAAACGTCGTCATCCCTTCACTTTCTAGTGTGGTCTGGTCAAAAAATATTACATATATATATATATATATATATATATATATATATATATATATATATATATATATATATATATATATATATATATATATATATATATATATATATACATATATATATATATATATATATATATATATATATATATATATATATATATATATAAAAATAAAAATATATATATATATATATATATATATATATATATATATATATATATATATATATATATATATATATATATATATATATATATATATATACACACACACATACACAGTATATATATTATACTGTATATTTTTTCACTAGGTTGGGCATGTTTAATGAGTAGCAATGATGCAGCCAGTTCAGATTTTTCACAGATCTTGCCTACTCCATTCCACAGCTATACAAACCTGCCATTATTTTCTAGGACCTGGACATATCCATACCTATTTTAGCCTTGAGTACAAGGAAATTTTTGCAAGATGGGACACAAGGCAAATAACTCCTATAATGCAGAGTACATGATCAAACTTTGTGGGATCTATCTTAAAAAAAAATTGTATGCATTGAAATCCTAACTTACCCATAAACCCAGTAGGGAAGTTTCTGTCTGTCCTTATCTTGCCATCAATACGGATAAGGCGCTGCATAGTGATCTTTGTCACTTCTGTGTTGGTCAAGGCATACTTCAGACGATTACGCAGGAGCAGGACCAGAGGCAAGCACTCCCGTAGTTTGTGGGGACCTGTAGAAGGCCTGGGAGCATACACACCCCCAAGTTTGTCTAACATCCATGATTTAGGAGCAACAAGGCGCTTCAGATGATGCTTTGGTCCACGCTGAAACATTTATGAAAAATTAGTAAAAGAAAAAATGCACAGTAAATTTAAAAAACAATCTTTAAATGTCTCCAACTTAGCTAATGCTGAGAATAGTTTACATCTCAACTGCAAAAACCAAGGTCGATTTTAATCTCGCTCCTATTTTGACCAAGAGTGACACACGTCAAGTATGGCTTCGATTAAGAGCTTGAATTAAAATGTATGCCTAATCCTAATGTTCCATTAACAACACTTTTTAAGTATAATGAGTAGCCAAGATAAACACTGCTTCAATTTTACTTAAAACATAAGCAAGCTAAATTGCCAATACTGTAATTGGTTCCTTAAAAGTATTTCTTTTAAAAGACCTACCAAACAGCATTTAACACACTGCCTAGGGCCTTTGGAAATTTACTATAGTACAATACCCTCATGATTAATAATACATTGCCATATGCAAATTGTATTTTGCTTTATATTTAGGCTGTTATTATTTTCATTATGGTGATTAACCGTTTTGTAAGGCAGTCACTTTGCACTATTGGGGTTTGTCTGCTTTACACTCGATTGCTGATTCACAAGAGTAAAAATATTTTTGTGCATGACAAAAAGCAATATTAAATACCAGGAGTAGTGCTTATGGTAGCAAAAGAACAAAGTAGATGTCCCAGCAAAAGGGTAAGTGGTGTCCTCGCGGTGCAGACCAACCAGCACAGAAAATGCTGGTGGTGCAACAGAGATATGGTCAATGAGAATTGTCCCAGCATTGGAAAGTTTAATTCTACAGTATGCTTAAGCCCCCTACCTCAAGTTTTTAGGAATTTTTATAGTTCAATTGAACAGCATGAGTAGATTAAACATGTTTTGTTCTAAAAAAGCATTGTGATAAGTATGGCTAATGTAACAACATCTATAAACTTGCATTAGTACCCTGTGATATCCAAACAAAATATTGTAATATCAATAAACAAGTTAAATTACATTAATGACTAGCTGTATGTGATGGGATGAGCAAACAACCCAGGGTACTAATGAAGTTACTAAACTAGCATATATCTACCATTAACACAGAATAGTTAAAAAAAATTATATACAGTACTTCAACTTAATACTGCTTACAGGGCTGTACTAAAACAATGTCTTGTACAAAACAACCTCTACAGCGAATCTAAGATCATTCGCATAATAATGATGTTCATTATTTATATTCTCTAAAAACTATTATCTTAACACTATCGCGCACCCCACGAGCGCGCCGCCAACTTAGATTCCGCCTTTCACAATTACTCAATGACAATCCTTGAAGCATTATAAAGAAAACAATGCAGACATGGCATATAAAGACTTTGCAAAGGCCATGGAATGATAGCCTATAAAATGAGAATAGGAATACCATAAAATAGGGTGATGGTTATTCAATTTATGGTGAAAGAACACAGAAAATGAAGTCCAAGCACGGTGAAAAGCTCTGTACCCCTATCAGATATAATAAATCTAAGTCACAGCATGTCATCATTTGCAGATACAAAAAAATCAACATTAAAATTACTTTTATGAAGACACATCTATTAAGTCTGACTGGGCAGCAGAAAATAAGATGTTCAACAGTGATAAACTGCCGGTACATAAATATGACTAGAATGAAGAACTGAACAAAATTCAGGGTTCAATTTAATCAGATCTTCTCGTACGAGGAAAAGATGTAAAAGACAGAAATAATTGTCTGATGACCTAACATTTAGTGAGCATAACCATATCAGCCAGGTAAATGAGGATGGATTGTAAAAACCTTTAACTCTAGGAATTCTACCACAATGCTCATACTATTCGAGCTGGTATGTCCCCACCTGACATCAGTACGGTCAGTATGACGAGTACGACTCAGTACTTGCTTCCGCTTTCAAAGCAGGCGAGATTTCCAAAATAGAAATGTAGAAAATAATACGATTTGCACACACTATAAAGCACCTAAATTCTTAAGACAATCTAAAAGGTCTCAAAATGTACTCTCTAGAAAGAAGACAAGATGTATCAACATATACGTGGAAGACACTGAAGGGCCAGACACCATATTATAATAAAATAAAATACTGGAGCTGATGATATGCTAGGAAATGCAGAGTAGATACACTGAAAAGGTCTCATAGGTTCAATCAGGACACTGTAGAAACAGAAGATTTGATTTCCTATATAAACATCAGCAAATGATGCACCTATCCCTAAAATACTGCCTCAGTAACGGAAGTCAATTTTTATCCTATATCCAAGCAGAATGTTTCATTAAATTGTTCACAATCTCAGTTCAGTTCAAGTTCAGTTATGGGTTATATAGGTAATTCCACCACTTCGTGAAAAGCCGCTTATTAGTTCTTTACCCAATTCTAAACAAGCTCTATGAATGAATGAAGCTCTACATCTATGAATGCCAGTCACAAACCTCACTACATAGCAATCACGTGATGTTTCTACTCTATTGTCCCCATGGGAATTTTGTTTGCTTTTTCTATATAGAACAAATGACTAATGTATAATGTGCTACAAGTTGACATGACAAGGTACATGCAAAGAAAGTGCGACTATATAGCATTTGGAAGTGACATGAAAATAAGAATTTGAGATAGGACGGAGGATAGAAATGGTGCCCAACCACTTTAACTGTCGGGGGATTGAGCGTCGACCTGCAAGACACTATACCGTCCAGGCCAAGTGGTTGAAAAGTACTACCAGTTGGCCTCTCTTTACATATAACTTATACACATGTACAAGTTATAGCTTTGAGCATAATGCTATGTATCCCAGGTATTTAAGAATTAATTATTGTATAGAATACAGACAAGGAAAAACACAAAGCAAACAATGAAAAACGTTACTTGTTGATTAATGACAAAATAAGAAATGTAAACTATAGTAAACACCTCAGACAATTAACTTGCTATGGACACTAGTACCATGCAACACCACTAACTACCTCCCCCAACTTCCACCATCATTTCACAAAACGACTCTCAAAAATTCAGGAGTACTGTACCACCACTTTACAGCCTCTAGCACAGTGGTGACGGATAACACCATTATACAGCACCTTCACTGCAGGAGCGAGAAGCACCAGCACTTCTCAAGCTCCATCACCCACCGCCACCGTCACGAGTCGACATGTAAACACCAACTTTTATCCCACTATATTTACTTCATCGCTGCGTATATTGACCTGGAAGGGAACTTTACGACATCTTGGACACCTCTAGTCGAGATCTACAAAACGGATACACACGGGGAAGACAATACTCAGCCAAAATATTGGGAAAATAAGAGTGAAGGTGAGAGACTCACAGCCATGGCTCCGTCTGGCGAGGGAAAGACCGTGTAAACAGAGGGCGCTGATGGTTCCTTCCCCCAGCGACCCCTACTATAAGCTTTATATTTGATTTGTAATTATAGCCCTTTTAGTAATACTTATGATGTAATATAATAATAATAATAAAATTAATAATAATAATAATATGAATATGAATAGCTTATTCATTAAAATATACGGTGTATGTAATATTGCTTAAAATCATAGATTTTATATTTACATTTGTTATAGGGAGTTTTTTTTATTAACAAACTTAGATATACACAGCAATGTGCTGCTATCCTATTCTATATGAAAGATCACATAGTGTAGATAAAAAAAACTAGCTATAAATTCATCTACATACAAGTTGAGTTATAAACAGAATGTTGGATTTTTAGATAGAGCTAGTACATACTATGCCTAAAGCCACTAATACGCACAACGTTTCAGGCAAATATACACAACAATATGCTGCTACACCTAATCTATATAATAATAATAATTCAATGTTTCGGGGGACGGGAAGCCAGAGTGTATTCATACACTTTTTTTTCGCTTTTATGTGAGGTCCCCCCAAAGGTTGAATTACTGACCACGCCCAGGATGTAACGACACAAGTTGACTAACTCCTGAGTACCTACTCACTGCCTGGTGAACTGAGGCATTAGGTGAAAGGATATGTGCCCAGCCATTTCTGTCCCGCCCGTGATTCGAACCCGAAATTCTTGATTGTGTGTCGAGAACGAACCCGACTGTACTACCGGGATCCTAATATAAATATATAAAAGATTTCATAGCGTAGGTTCAAAAAATAAGTTCATTTAATATCCCCATCTCACAGGATAGTTAGTCATACATGGAATCAGGAGAGAATATGAAATGTGAGGCTGATCTATTAGCCTCCACTAGCAAACTCTGTGAACAGCGCGAGAATATCTTCCAATATTCGTGAGTGTATATGTAGTAGTTACAGAGCTTAAAGTACCTCGTACTATTTGGTCTGAAATCACTGATAACAGGTCAATCACAGATATAATATTGGAGAGCATGTCCCAGCTCTTGTTCACATAGTTTATAATTAAATTAATTTAATTTAATTCATTGTGTCGGGGGACAAGAAGCCAGTGTCTTCATACACGATAGGCTTTTTTAATCGAGTCCCCCCCCCCAAGGGTCGAATTATTGAATCTGCCCAAGCTGCAACCCCACAACAAGCTATCACTCCTGAATATCTACTTGCTGCTAGGTGAACCGAGGCATTAGGTGAAAGAAAATGTGTCCAACCATTGAATTGATTGTTGCCGCCAGAGGTGGCTAGTATATTGTGCACCCTATACTCATCCTGTGAGCTGTAGCGGCAAAAAGCATTACAGAGGGCACAAAAGGTCTTTATCAGACCTCATCACTCGGATCTTTTTCTCATCACTTATCAGACCATCATCACTCGGATGAGGTCTTTATCAGACCTCATTGCTTCGCTTAACGAGACAAGCACGTTATTACTTGGTGGCAAACTGTTTATTGCTAGTAGTGAGGAAAGGGAGTCGGAAATAATTAAACTGTCTACTTCAGTGTTGTCAATAATTTCGAGTGCTCACAGTATTTCTACCAACTCAGCTTGCATTGTGGATGCCCAGTTACTAATTCTTATATTCCTTTGAATTGTGCTGCCATCGTGCTGATAAGCAATAACAGCACTTCCTGCCTTCCCTGTAGTTGTATTGAGTGATCCATCAGTGTATATGGTCTGTGCTAAGTTGTTTTCAGTTTGTATATTGTGAATGTGTTCTATGGTGCTTAATTTAGCAGCAAGCTGAGCATGGGGGTTGCTTGTGATTAGTTTCTTGATGGGGTATGCAGGGGTCAGGATGTCAAAAGGTACTATCTGCCAGGGTGGAAGGAAGTGCTGTACTCTTTCATCTGTATATACATCGTGCAGTCCCATCATTTTAATATGAGTGGCTGTTCTTTGAATTCATTTAGACATGCTGGTTCCACTACGTATGTGTTCTAACAGTTCAACTGACACAATGTTGTTTTTGTTATCACGCAGAAGCTTTAGTCCCATCATAAGATTGATTTCAAATATTCTATCTCGAATGCTAAGTATATTTAATTCTTTCCGCATATTGAGAACTTTGGTAGTTATAGAACAGTCAAGTATAATTCTGAGTGCTTATTTTGCATTCTTTCCAGTTTATCAATACTTTTGTCATTTTGCAGGACTAAAGCTGGTGCAGGATAGTCTATCAGAGACCATATATATATGCTAAGTACATCATTTTTGCTAGTCTAATATTAACACCGTATAACACTAATTCTAATATTATAATTATATTTATAATATATTATATTAATATATTATAATTATATATTATAATATATAATTCTAATATTAACACCGTGGGGCTGTACCCCACTACAGTTCTAAGAGCCTTCTGTCTCTTAGAGCTTAGAAGAAGCTTAGAGCTTAGAAGAAGAGCCTTCTGTCTTTCTGTTCTGTCTGAGTCTGTCTCTACATTGTTGATGTAACTTATTGACTGCAGTTGAGGTACAAGGGACAGAGACACCAAGGTATTTGAAAGAAGAGACATAGTCTATTGGTATGTTATCTATCTTAAGTTTTCGTGGTCCACTTTTGAGGTTGCCAATTTCTGTTAAATACCTTAGTTTTAGCAGCGTTGATTACAAGACCAAGGCTCTCACAAGGCTTTATGTATACAATTTAAGATTGTTTGCATTTCGCGGTGGGTTTTAGTATGTACAAGGATGTCATCTGCATAGCTGATAGTTATATTTACCGGACTAGTTGGGATTGATTTTAGTAAGGCATTAATTAGAACATTAAACAAGGTAGGACTTAGTACCCCCTCCTTGTGGGGTGCCTAGCTTAAGAACTTAAGATTTAGTTTCACTCGTGTAGCCTTGGACCAGTGCAGAGGACTTCCGGTTGAGAAGATAGCCCCTTACCCATTGTTATAATTGTCTACTTATATTCATTCTTGCTAATTCATACTTAATCACTTCCCTATTAGCAATATCAAAGGCATGTTTTAAATCAAGAAATGCTCTATACTTGTGCCTTTTATCTCCATGAACAGTGAGAAAGGTTGTGATACAGTTGTGTACACTTTTACCATGTGTGAAATCATTGATATCAGGTGACATGTGCTCTTTAACTCTATACTGTACAATAATCTATTAAGCACCAATCTCTCAAAGGTTTTGCACATGCAACTGGTCTGTGAGATGGGATGAAAAGCATCAGGTTGGCTAGGCCGTACAGGTACTGTAAGATTGCTGGTCCATGAAACTGGCAACTGCCTAGTGACATAACTCGCATTAAACAATTCTAATAATGGGTTACCGGGTACACGATATAGGAATCTTAGAATATCATAGGTGATACCGTCCTCACCAGGAGCAGCGCTACTGCCCCTGGAGAGGGCTGCAGCCAATTCATATTCTGATATGGAACATCACATTCGTCATGTTGCTTACTGAACATGAAATTTATGAGAGTATTTCTGTCTGAGAACTTCGCCTGTAATTCCTCCCTAGTGCTAGCTGGTAACATTCCAAAGCTGGAAACCTGAGCCCATTTTGTAATTAACTGATTGGCTTTCTGTAGCGGGTTTGGATGTGAAACTTATCTATTATTTTTACCAATAATTTTGTTTATGCCTTTCCAGGCTTTGCCCAGGGAAGTATGCAGGTTAAGTCCACTAACAAAATCCTCACATTCATTTCGTCTGAGTTCAGTCATTCTCTCCCTTGCCGCTGCAAGCGCGGCCTGAAACAGTTTTAACATTTGAGGAGTTCTAAGGCTCTTATATGCTTTACCCGTTTGTCTAGCAATTGATTTAAGTTATTTCAGTTTAGCACCATCATAGTACTGGTTGTGTCTGACCTGCTTGCCGGTACGTCTTTTCGTTTGGTGCCCAACCATTTCTGTCCCGTCCGGAATTCGAACCCGGAATTCTTAATTGTGCGTCGAGGACGAATCCAACTGTGCTATCGGGAATTGGAGTGTTCACCATTGGGAGATTCATTACGTGCAGCCACCTACATAGATATCGATATCCCAGCCTAATTCTCGCCAATGAAGCCACTATTACCCAAAGCGTTTCGGCAAACGTGAATTTACCTGAATTTACCTGAGGGGTCACTAACACTCTAGTGGCCTCGAGTGTTCGGAAGCCAAAAAGCAGGTCCCCCCCCCATTTGTTCTGAGAATTTTTTTCAAGTTGGATTTTAAATTTAAGCAGAGTTTTGGCATTTACGGCTTCAGCGGGTAGGCTGTTCTGTGGTTTATAAAAGCAACTCTTCTTTTCAGTCCCACACCATGGTTTTTATTTTTGTTTATTTTTGTATGAAAGAATTCTTACATTCTTATTTCTTTCTTGTTTATTGAGCTTGAAACCGTTGCTCCTTATTTGTGTTATATTGACCTTTTGAAGAAATTGTCTGAATCAACATTCTGCAAATAGTTCAGTATTTTAAAAGGTTCAATGAGATCCGCCCTGTCATGCCTGGGTTGCAGTGTTGTTAGCCTTGTAGCCCTCAACCGTTTCTGATACGTGAGTTGACTTAGTTCTAGAACGATTTTTGTTGCCCGGTGTTGCACTGTCTCCAGAGCAGCTATGTCCTTCTGAAGATGAGGTCTCCATGCTTGGATACAATAATCCAAATGGGAGGCGCACCTCCTTTAGAATTCTCTCAATGAGTTTGTAGATGTGTGATGTCAAGGTGATCGGACGGTAGTTTTCTGCCGAGCTCTTTCTTCCTTTTTTAAAATTTGAGTGACATTTGCACATGTCCAATCTAAGAGGGACTATCCCTTGGTCCAGAGAATATTTGAAAAGTAGTTTCAGCGGTAGGCATAGTTCTTCTGCCATTTATTTTACGACTTTGGATTGAATTCCATCCACACCTGGAGCTTTTGAGTCTTTTCGTTTGTCAATGATATTTCCTGATTATGTCGCACGGTACGGGTGTATCCCATAATTCGTTTACTTCACCTCCTTCAAACATTTATGTGGGTAATGGGATGTCCTCTAATCTTTCTAGTTCCTTGTAAAGAATTAATTCAAAATGTTAGCTGCCCTTTTATCATTCATTATAAATTGGTTAGTCTTATCCTTTAAGGACTTCTCATATAGGAATAAAACGACGTTGGATCCTTCTTTAAGTCTTAGGCAAGTTTTTATTCGTAGTTTCTTTTGGCTGATCTGATTTCCTGGGTAGCTAAGTTTAATGCTCCTTTTTTATATATCATAATCTATGATGTTCATTGTGAATTGAACGTCCAACATCCACCCTCTCCAGAGGTTCCGCTTAGTTATCAAGGCTCTCCGGATTAATGTCCTTCAGTGTGTTCAAATTTTAAAGGTTTTAATAAAATAAGTTCTATTGTATTTGTTTTTGTATGCACTTTTGAAGGATACAGTTGTCTCCAGACGGGTGCGCACAGAGTTGTACAGCAATCAAGGGCGTCACAACTTTTACCATGTGGTCATCACAGTTGTTACTGAGCAATCACCATACTGGTTGCTGCAAAGGTCGTCACAGCAATTGTCTCATTTCAGCAGTTGCTGTAGAGAGCACTACAGAGGACGTTTCACGGTCGTCAGAGCAGTCGCGACAGAGGACAACGTCTCACCAGTTGTTACAGCAGTCGCCACAGAGGTCGATGTTGATTTCGATGCTTCAATGACACGTGCTGCATATGTTCCTGACGGTCTCTCAATTGTCAAGGAAAAATAAGCTTTGCGGATAAAATGTTGCCTGTCGGCGATACAGACCTTTGCCTTGCGGCCAGTAAAGCATTGTTCAGCAAGATTATCTATCGCCATCCAGACGATATAAACGTCAAGTGTCCAGATAAAGTCGAACAGTAGTCGATGTACCTAGATAACGACAAAACCTGCATAACACATATCCATGCAGTTATGACCCCGGGCCTAACTTGAGAGGCTGAAATAGATGCCCAGTCACACCAGGAGTCCACCAAGACCCGCCAACCCTTGGCACTCTGACTCGACCAAGCCGGCGCCGGATCCTCTCTCTCTCTCGCCACCCTAGAAGATCTAACCGGAAAACAGCAGTTACCCATCAACCTTACTGAGATAGGCGATATGTACGCCAGACATCGCATCAATCCTGAAAATTGAAGAGGGATGCTTCATCAGTAGCGAGACCTAATGAGTAAAATTGTATCTTGTTGTCCTTTGACTAGCCTTAGTCAAAGGCTAGTCAAAGCCTTTGGAGGGTCGGGGAGCGTGGGAGCCACGCAGCCACCGGCCAGCACGAGGGTTGAACAACGTGGTGCGGGTCGGGTTGGCAACACTGGGTGACGGAAGGTAAACAAACGTGGCGGTGAGAGGCTGCTGATAAGCCCTTGCAAAGAATGGTGAAATGCAAGACTTCTAGATGATGCAGCAACCCCGGCCCTTAATACATATGGCTGTGGTAAACTGTAGAGAGAACAGGTGTTTCTACTGCAGGTACGTGTCAAGGTGTACAAGAAAGGCCTTCACACAAGAATCAGTATTTAGACAATTTACGTAAATTCACCTGCTGGCCACTATCTTTAGCAGGGATAGGAAGCCGTTGGCTAGATTAAGATCTTCCAGTTCTACCATAGTGTGGTAAGTTGTATAGTAAAATTGTTACTGTCTTCGCCATAGTTTTGACGAGTAGGCAGTTTCATAGTCTTGTAATCTTTTATGGACGAAAAATCTGTTGTTGAGGGGAAAATACCTTATCATTCAGGGACACGCCTGTTAGACAGAGAGGTATGCACATTTAAGGGCGAGCCCATACTCAATCACCACCTAGTTACTGGTCAGACACAACTGCTCACTGGATGATATACACATAGTTTTTTATGTATATACAAGCATTCTTACATTCTTGTAAAGGCACTAGCATGCATAGCATTTTGGGTTGGTCTTTAATCCTAATTTTCCCTGGAATTTGACTCGCCAAATCATTTAACAACAATGCTAGTAGCATTGTGTTTACAAGAATGTAAACACAATGCTATGTATTCTCACAAACCCAATGTACCTTCTTGCATATATATAAATAAATAAATTTACTTTCCTTACTTACAGAAAAAAGACACATGCAAACTTGTACAGTGGAACCTTGGTTTTTGAATACTCCTCTTTTAGAATTTTTCGGTTCTCGAGCTCAATTTCTTCAAAACATTTGACTCAGTATTCGAGGTTTGCCTCTGTGCTCGAGTTTGTTGATAAACATATGGGCCGACCAAGCACGTGGAGCGCTTCAGTTTACCAGTGTCTCCTGCCTAGTGACGACTGCGCTTGAATTCTTTGTGAAGAATTTCATTATTTTTGTGCTTGGTTTCTGACCGTAAAAGTTCTTATTATATATCATTCAATGGGTTCCAAGAAAGTCAGCGGTAAAGTTCAACCTAAGAAAATAGTTGTGAGGATGACGATAGAGGAAAAACAAGAGATCATTCATAGTGAGATAATGTGATGTCTCACTATAGACAAGTATTAAAATGTTGGGAAAAACAAGTGTCTATAGACAGATTGTTAGTAAGACAAGCAAGCAGTGAGCCACAACCAGGTCCTAGTGGTATGCCTGCAAAATGTAAGAGAGAGTACCACAGAAATGTCATCACTGCTGTTAAAATGAAAGGGGACTCCCCTTCCAAACAGTACAACACAGAAGAGATGTTGCACTAACACCTCTCCTTCTCCCCTCTTCCTCACCGTCTTACATATGCCAACAAGTCCTCAATAAAGGTAAGATATACCTGTACATACTGTAATACAAAATATAAGCACAGTGCATATATATAAAATATACAGTGCATATATATAAAATGCATTTTTAAGTAGGGGGTGTGGAACGGATTAATTCAATTTACATTATATCTTATGTTGTTTTTTTAATTTTTGGTTTTCGAACCGTCTCTGAGATTGGATTAAATTTGAAAACGAAGGTACTACTGTACTGTACAGTATATTCATTTTTTCTTATATTTTAATTCAGTTAACCCTTAGACCGTGCATATTACTGCACATATTGGGGGCCTGGTAGCAAAAAATATTCAAATTATGTAAAAATAACTTAAAAATGTTTAATAACTTTACAACTTTTTGGCTTCAGTGTCGTGAAACTTTCATCAAAATATTTTCAGGAATTGATTTTAGACAAATTTTTTTTTTTAAATAAGAACGTTTTGTTGATAAGGAGAACAGCTAATAACTGGAACTGAAGGATTATGCAGTAATAAAGAGATGCAAACACCTGTCCGACGCTCAAAGAAGAAGAATAGTACTATAGTAGTAAGAAGTGTCCACAAAGTGGCTATGCAGTTGGTGCCTTTATATCATTGCTAAGTAATACATAATAACACAACTAATAATGAATAACTTTGTTAATATGCTCTATATTGTTATACCTGTATATCATATAAATACATTGTCCAATGATAATATGTTTCTTTCATCAATGTCCCCCAAAACATTTTTTAAGGGGAATTTTTTTTTAAGATTTTAGTTATTTTTTTCTCCTTTGTTCATTATCTGATTTTGTTATAACCTTTACATCCTGGAGAATGCATGTGTTTCCCTAACTATGTGAAGATAGAATGAAATTGGTCAACAAATAAATCAGTCACGACTCGCAAAACTTGTGACTTAATTTTTTTAGCTGATTTTTTCTCTGATTTCAAACTCTATTTTCTTTGTCTCTTTAGGCTGTTTTGATGTTAGGGACCATATTAGGGCTTTTTCACTTATATAAAATATCCCCTAAATATATCCCCTAAATCATTATAATTATTATAATTATCCCTATATTTTGTGTTTATTGGGGGTTATTTTTTCTTGACTTCATTTCAACACACATTGACCTACAACTTTCACATATTCGAGTATGAATGCCAAACAATGTTTATTAAAACATACAATTAAATTTACGAATTAAAACTACCTTTATTCATTGTTGATAACTTCAATTATCTCTAAAACTAGAGTTTCAACTTTGAGTGGCTTCTAAAATTCCAGTTTTTGACCGATTCTCACTATTTTGACATATTGTGTGCTCAACTGTCTGTTCTACAATCTCTTCAGAATGGTTTTGTAGGTTCCAGTGTACTTTGACTTCTGTTTTTTAAGATATGCCCAAATCTGTGGGGAAAGTTATATACAGTACTGGTATTACCGGGTCATATAGGCTAACCATTTTATCACGTACAGTACAAGTGGCAAGTTAGTACCTTTATTTTTTTATATTTGGTTAAAGGAAATATATTTACAATAAGAGATCATTAACTAGCTGTACCCGGCCACATGTTGCTGTGACTCGGCAACGCATGCGCGTTGCTGAGCCACACAACCCTCCCCTGTTTCCCTGTCCTCCCCACCATTCCCGTCGTCATCCCAACCATTCCCCACTCCCCTGTCCCCTCGTCCTCCCCACCATTCCCCCCTCCCCTCGTCCTCCCAACCATTCCCCCCCTCCCCTCGTCCTCCCCACCATCCCCCACGCCCCCGTCCTTCCCACCATTCTCCACTCTCCTGCCCCCCTTGTCCTCCCCACCATTCTCCACTCCCCTGTCCCCTCGTTGCCACCATTACCCCCCTCCCCCATCCCCTCATCCTCCCCACCATTACCCCCCTCCCCCAAACCCTCGTCCTCCCCACCATCCTCCACTCTCGTCCTCTCGTCCTCCCCACCATTCACTACTCCCTCGTCCGATGCATTCCCAAATGATCTGATGTTCCCATCAGAAAAATGGAAACATCAAATAATCTGATATTCCCATCACTGAAAAATAAGAACTATTAAAAAAACGAAATGAAAAACAATGAAAAATAATAAAATAAACTATACTAAATAAATAAATAAATGTTTATTCAGGTAAGGTACATACATTCAAGAGATTTTCCAAAATTTGATCGATTTATAGATAGAGCTAGTACATACAATGCCTAAAGCCACTATTACGCAAAGCGTTTAGGGCAGGAAAAACATTAATGACTAAAACTTAATACTAATTGAGTATAAAGAATAAAATGTGTTGAGAACAAATAAAAATAAAGACAAAAAAGGGGGAACATGGCTGAAAAAACAGCACAAATAACAATTAGGTCGACAAACAGCGTTGTTTTTAAAAAACAGACGGGTTGACAATAGAGGGGTAAGGTAGGTTACAGGGAATTTATTAGGTAGTGCTTCGCGCATACTGCATACTCACGAAATGAACGGTATGGTAAACAACACAGCTTAATTCCAATGCAATGTCACACAAAATAGTTAAATAAAAATAAAAATATATTGAAATCTATGAAAATTCAATATATCAGTGCAATCGGGAACATTGAAATGGAATCGTAACATATTTAGTATAGCATGTGTTGCTTTTATTTGCAACAGATGGCGCTGTTTAAAAAAAAAACATGTTTTTACCTGTCACATGTGTGGCATCTATATAGTAGGTATATAAAAACAGGCACTTATTTGAATGGAACATTGTGTCAAAATTTCAAAGCATTCAGTGAAGAACTTTCGGAGATTACAGTGTGTGTTGCTCTTACGTCCAACAGATGGTGCTGTTTAAAAAAAAAAAAAAGCATGTTTTTACCTGTCACAGGTGTGGCATGTATATAGTAGGTATATAAAAAACAAACATGCGTATTCGAATGCAATGTTGCCAAGAAAATGATAGGATATAATACAGTACTCAAATTTGATTTATTTTTCAGTCAATTATTTCTTCGATGGCATTTCAGACTTTAACTCAGGATGACCTGGAAGTGGATGCAAGAGCACTCAGCTGTGGTCAGTGGTTTTCTGCTTGGCGTGGGGAGTGCTGGATTGATTGCCTATCATAACACAGCTATTGTGGAGGCACTTCACTCCTGGAGGATGCTGAGATCAGTGAAGGCAGTAGAGAAGTGTGTGCATGTGGTGACTAGCGAGGATGGCTGGGCAAAGGTTCTACCATTATTGTACAAGTAGGTGAATTTGTATTGTCTTTATTTTCTATCTTTTTAAGACTAGATTTCTTCTGCTATATGTAGGCTTCGTTCTGCAAGATCTTATGGCTCCTCATGTATTTAAAGTTTTTACATTTTGTTAGGTATACCTAGTAGGAATATCTTAAGTAGGTATTACAACCACAAATTCTGAAAATTCAATATAGGCCTCATGACACATCTGTACTTATTAAAGGCAGGACAGCAGTTTGAATTTATCTAAATTTACATGAGGGCCACTATCTCTGTAGTGGTCTCGATGAGAACAGGAAGTCGGCAGCTTGTCAAAAGTCTACCCATTTGTCCTGATGATTTTATCAAGCTGGATCTTGAATTGGAGCAGAGTTTTAGCATTTACAGCTTTGACGGGTAGGCAATTCCATGAGTTTATAATACGGATTTTTTAAAACTGTTGCTAGAGAGATGCCTGTAATGTAATAGAAAATTCTCAGTCCAGCCTGGATTGACTGTCAGAAAGCACAGTCCAAAAACTTGGAGCCCTTTCAAAGAGTAAGTTGCAACCAAGAATCAACTCAGTAGTGTTCATTCCAACTTCTTGTCCTGCCCAGCCACTGCACCTTACTGCCATCAGACGGCAGCTCCTAATATAAAAATAATGTCCCCTGACTCAAACTACTTCACAATCTAACATCCCACCATGTCCTTCCTACACACCCACATCTTTGCACTCACACACACTGGACCCTCCCTGACACACAAACCAACACTAGAAATAACTCTAATAACACCACTCTCCACCCTAGCAACACCATCCTCCACTCACCAACAGTTCCAAAATGTGTTTGCAAAAAATGAAATTTTCAGAGAACCAGACACAATATGAATTTCAGAGAATAACATAGAGTACATAGAGGCATCACGATATGAATTGGAAAATTTTTCAAGAAGCTAAGTAAGAACAAAGCAATTGGTCTAGATGAAATTTCACTTTGGTTCTGAGGTAATGCCCATCTGAGTTTAACACTCCACGTTAGTTTATTTTTCTAGCATCTTTGTCTTCACAGATATATGGAAAAAGGCACAGTTCTAATCTACAAAAATGGTAGGAGGGATGACACTCTTAATTATAGACCTATATTGTTGACAAACATGATAGTCAAAACACTAGAAAAATAATTAAAACAAATGGGTAGAACTCCTGAAGAGAAATGACATAATAACAGTACGATTTTGAAACTGGAAAGTCCTGTGTAACAAGTCTAGTTTCTACAGCCACATAAATTTTACAGGAAAGAGATAGATGGGTTGATTGTATTTATATGGACCTTGAAAGGCTTTTGACAGTCCCATATAAGAGGTTGTTCTGAAAACTGGAATACAGGTATACTAAAGGAATGACAGGGAGACTTCTGACATGAATGACAAAATTTCTGACAAAAAATGAGGGCAGTAATCAAGAGGCAATGTATCAGACTGTGTAAATTTTAAGTGGTGTACTACAGGGTTCATTTGTAGTACCAGTAATGTTCATTATCTATATGTACAATCTATCAGAAGGAATAAAGAACTTTATAAACATGTTTCCTGATGATGCCACACTAGTAGGTAAGATAAGAAACTTTTTAAATGATTGCCATGCCCTTCAAGATGACCTGGGCAAAATAAGTATATAGAGTAACATTTGGCTGATGGTATTTAATGTGAATAAATGCCACGTTATAGATTGTGGAATAGGAGAAAATAGGCCATGCGGAATCTACAAATTAAGTGAAAAGGCATTAAAGAATTCTGAAAAAGAAAGAGATCTAGGGTGGTCTTGGATAGAAAATTGTCATCTGAGGACCACACAAAGAACATTGTACGCAGAGCCTATGCTATGCTTTTCAACTTCAGAATTGCTTTTGAATACATGGATGGTGAAATATTGAATAAATTCTGTATGTGTATGTATGTATGTATGTAATGTAAGGATGACTTCCATATTTGAAAAATGGAAAGTTGTCCTAATGTTAAAGCTTACTTTCAACTTCTCAAATATGGTAGCCTTGCATTTAATAAGATCAGTGTTTCTTGATTTTTGTTTGTTAAATATAAAATCTGTCTTTATTTACAATATATAGGAGAGAGAAATATTGTATCATGAGATGGGCAAAACTTGCATTTCTGGGGGGGGGAGGCCCCGTTGGTTCACCAGAGCTATCCAGGCTGAATGGATATATATAACTTTCTGGCATCAGTCAATGTGCATGGAGTTCTTGCCTACCAGGGACCACAAGCCAGAACTTGGCCCCCTCAAGAGAGGCACAAGGAGTAATGGCCAATAGAAAATCCTGTGTGGTTGGGAGCATTCTGTGTGCCATCGACTGGATCTGGCACCCAGAAAGGCAGGTGCCCCAAAACAAACCCCTATTCTGGGGAAACCATTGGTACTGAAAGCCAAACAAGTGGACAGAACTCTCCAAATGGGCATGATGTCATCATGTCGCCACGCCGCTGTCTGTGCAAACCCCCCTTCCCCGGAGGGGAAAGGGGGAGCCCCAGACCCCCACATCGGCGATGCACCTTGCAGTTCTCAGGCTGATGTGTTACTGGGGTGGTCTTGTGCCTCTGGCTCCAGTGATTTGTCTCAGATTCTGTGCCTTGTGGCGTAGACTGTCTACGCCACAAGACTGTCTACGCCCTCGATAAATGCACCTCTGGTGCATTTATCGAGGGCTGGGGTTGTTGCTGTTGCCAACTCATTGCAACCTGTGGTTGGAGGGGTTTGTTTGGTTTAGATTGTTAGTAGATAGTGGTATGGGAATTGATAGGGAGAGGGGAGGTAATAACAGTACAGTATGTGTTTATGGGGAAAACAAATTGGAAAAATGAACAGGGAAAGAGAAGGGCCTCAAAACAGCAATACACTTAGGGTATATTACACAAACGGTAGGAGTCTAAGAAACAAAATAAACTATTTAAATGCTCTTGTCTGTACAGAAAAAGATATTATTGCACTTACTGAAATGTGGATGAATGTAGAAAATAGAGAACTATTAGCTGAATATCAAATAAATGGATTTAAACTATTTCACACAGATAGATATAGATGAGGAAGGGGAGTAGCCATATATCTTAGGGAAAATTTGAAATGTAGTCTGAGGGGAATCAAAACTTAGCCACATACAGAAACTATTTGGCTAGAATTAAACGTAAAAGCAAATATTTTTATAATAGGAGTTATATACAGGCCACCAAACTTAGACAGAATGGAAGCAAAGCATCTATGGGATGAAGTATCTAGCACATCTAGGTCTAACAGTATTTATGTCATGAGTGACTTTAATTTTAGTGGAATAAACTGGTTAAACAGAACAAGTAATAATGAAGCAGACGATTTTTTAGAAATAATTGACAATTGCTTTCTTACGCAACAACATGGTTCACAACATGGTTTTACAAATGGTCGTTCATGTTTAATAAATTTGCTATCATTTTATTCCAGCATAGTTGAGGCAGTTGATAGTGGTAAGGATTGTGGTGTTGTGTACCTTGACTTTAGCAAAGCTTTTGACACAGTGCCACTTAAAAGACTGATTAAAAAGTTAGAGGCTCACGGTATTGGGGTTACTATATTAAGTTGGATTAGGGCATGGCTATACCAACCATGACACTCGCCTGGCGTTCCACGAGCGCTATGTCATGGGTTCGTATCCTGGCCGGGGAGGATTTACTGGGCGCAATTCCTTAACTGTAGCCTCTGTTTAACGCAACAGTAAAATGTGTACTTGGATGAAAAAACGATTCTTCGCGGCAGGGGATCGTATTCCAGGGACCATAGGATTAAGGACTTGCCCGAAACGCTACGCGTACTAGTGGCTGTACAAGAATGTAACAACTCTTGTATATATCTCAAAAAATATCTCAAAGGAAACAGAGTTAGTATAAATGGGGTTAAGTCAGAGTGGGAAAATGTTGTAAGTGGAGTGCTTCAAGGTTCTGTCCTGGGACCTCTGTCATTCATAATACAGTATATATAAATGATTTAGATTCAGGTTTGAGTAGCAGTATTTGTAAATTTACTGATACAAAAATCGGGAGGGAAATAAACATGAAAAAAGACTATCACTTCAAAACGATCTAAATAGATTGTTTTGAAGTGATCGTTTTGACCATTTCAAACCGATTTGAAATGGTCAAACGACTGGCAGATGCAGTTTTATGCTGACAAATGTAAGGTTTTGAGATTAGGTAATGATGATATAGTTACAAGATACGAGCTAGATGTTGAGATTGCGAAATCGGATTGGGAAAGGGATCTGGGAGTTATGATTAGTAAGAATTTAAAACCAAAAAATCAATGCATAAATGTTCGTAATAGGGCAAATTGGACACTGAGATTTATTAATCGAAGGGGGTTACTAATAAGATATCTGGTGGTGTTCTTCAGCTATATCTTGCTCTGGTTAGGCCCCATTTATATTATGCAGTTCAGTTTTGGTTGCTGTACTATGGATATGGATATTAATTCACTAGAACGCGTCCAGCGTAGGATAACAAAGTTAATCCCGCAAATTAGAAACCTGTCATATGAAGAAAGATTGACAAAGGCTCAATTACATTTGCTGGAAAGGCGAAGAATTAGGGGTGACATGATAGAGGTGTACAAGTGGATGAATGGACATAACAAAGGGGATATTAATAGAGTATTAAAAGTATCAACACAGGACAGAACACAATACAATGGGTATAAATTGGATAAGTTTAAATTTAGGAAAGATCTACACAAGTGGAATTGGGTGGTTATAAGAAGGAGCTGCCTTGTATGAGCCAATAGGCCTTCTGCAGTTACATACTGTACCTTTATTCTTATGTTTCCCCGGTTCAGCTGTTGCTCCAACAGTTGAGGGAGTTCTCCCTCTCTGTTTGCCTTTTGTTTGCATTTTTCTTTCCTTGTGTAGTCGGTTTTGTTACGCCTACCTTTCTGGGTGCCTAACCCCGGTCGATGGCAGATAAGGTAAACCCCCAAGAACAGGGGGAGTTTTCCAGGGTCATTGCTCCCTGTGCCTCTCTGAAGGGCGTCAGGTTCTGGCTCGTGGTCCCCTGTAGGCAGAACGCCATTGACTAAAGCCCTGGTCTAATGTATCGCATATTTGCCTAATAGCTCCATGGAGCTTCCAGGACTCACTCTGAAAATGGCGTTTCATTACATTCAACGCTGGTTTTTTTATCTGTGTAACAGAGAAGCTCGGCAAGATGGAGCTGTGGGTTTTGACTGTGAATGGGTGCAGATGAGAGGCTGTCGTCGCCCCGTGGCACTGATCCAGCTGGCTTCCTGTTCTGGGCTGTGTGTCTTGCTGCGACTCACACACATAAAATCAAACCTTCCCCGTAGTCTTAAAGTAAGGAAATGTGGGAAATTGTCATCTCGGCAACTTTTAGTTTTCAGTGATGTTTTTTATTTTGTTTCAAAATGTGGTGGCTAATGTGTGAATGGAATTGTGATTCTCTTATTTTAAGTAAATTAAGAGAATAACACTTCATAGCAACTTAGTCTGAGTTACTGTATTTTCATCCATTCTACATTTACTTGCCATTAAATATATTTTATGTTCCAATTTATGTCATGTAAACTTTTAATATGTAATTCTATGTATCCCTGAGATAAACTTGTGCTCAATAATTTTTCAGGTTCTTTGCCATATTAGCATGTGTTCTCCCCTGACCCTTATTAATCATCTCAAGATAACCACGTCAGAGATCTTATCATTAATATTTATTTTGGTATTTCTGTGTGGAGCCTCTTTGGCTCCCTGGAGCTATCGGACTGATATACGCTTTATTAGTCTGGGGGGCATCAGTCAATGGAGTTCTGCCTACCGGGGGCCACGAGCCAGAACCTGGCCCCATCAGAGAGGCACAGGGAGCAATGATCTATGGAAACCCCAATGTGTTTGGGAGCATTCCATGTCTGCCATCGACTGGGGTTAGGCACCCAGAAAGGTAGGCATAACAAAACAAACCCTACCTGGTAATAAATTGCAACCGAAGACCGAACAGAGACAGAACTCCCTCAAAAGTATAATGAAACAAGCAGATGTCATTCACCGCTGCCGCACCACTTGTCCGCACAGCCCTCCCCTCCCCGGGAGGGAGAGGTGGTAGCCCTGGACCCCCCACGCCGGCTACTCGCACCTCAGTTCATAGGCTGATGTGCTCTGGGGCGGTCGTCAACTCTGGCTTCAATTTCTTGGCGGAATTTATGCCTTTGTTGTGTTTTCTGCTCTTTTTGGTGTGGTTTGCCATGAGTAACATCATTGTGCTGGGGCTGCTTGCGCTTAGGGCTGCTTTCCCTAAGCGCCCTGTAAGTACTACCCTTGGGTTTTACGGTTTCTTTCCCTAGAGCCTTCAGGACTACTTCCATAAGGGTTTTTGCTGCTCGACATTTGCCCCTCCCTTGGGGCCAGCTAGGGTTTCGTGGCCTTTGTTTGGCCTTGGGTAGGAAGTGGTGGTGTTGCTGGTTGGGGCGCAGGATGCTGCGTAGCATGCTTTCCTATGCGGCGGCCGTGTTCCTGTTCCTTCTGTTTGCGTTGTACTTTTGCAGGGCTTTTCTTTTCATTTTATATGGTGATCAGGTGTCCTACATGCGAGCTTCGTCTCAGTAACAGTATGAAATTTCCTGGTGTTCTTTTTGCCATTTCTTCTCTCTTCGTAGGTTGTCTTCTATTTCCGTTCAGGTTTTGTCCTTTCTTTCTTGGCTCTTTCATCTCATGCCCAATACTATTGTCACCTCTTATTGTGCGGCGCTGGCGAAGCCGCTCTAGCTTGCATTCGGGGTGGATTTCACTTCCGCCTTGTTTCATAAGCTTTCTCATACTTTGTTTCACCTTTGGCCTGCTTATGTGCCGCCTGAGCCGTCCTGGTCCTTGGACCGGGTGCTCTCTTTTCTCTATTCTCCTTAGTTTGTGGTGGCCCTTTCGGTTCAAGATTGTTTTTCCAAGGCTCTGTTTCTGTTGGCACTGGACTCTGGGGGTTGGGCTGGTGAGCTTCATGCTCCTCTCTGGCACAGGGGTTTCTACTCTTGCGATCCTGGTGGTCGGTTTGTTCGCTGACAGCCGTCTCCTTCTTTTCTGGCGAAGAATGAGATGGCAAGCTTCCTGAGGGATCCTTGGGTCATTGATGCTTGGTTAGTCAAGTCGGGGGTGCAAACGTGTTGTGGCTTTCCGCCTTTACCTTTGAACTTGCGCCTCTTTGGCTGTGGACGCGCTTTGGGTTAACCCGATTTCCTTCATTCCCTGTTCCAGGGTTTGGGTCTCTCAGGTTGTCCGCAGGGTGGTATTAGGTCCATCCAGCCAGCTGTTTGATAAATGTCATGAGTACGAGTGTAGTGTTCTGCTTTGGCTGCCATGTTTGGCAACATGTCTCGGGCTGACATTCGAGCACGGGGGTTTTGGAGATCGAACAGGGTCTTGGGTCACCCGTTATTTGGTAAATGTTCCCAGTCCCAGTCGTTCATGTGTGGCTTTGGGTTGCAGGTTGCATCCAGTTGTCTCGACTTCGAGTTGATGTGCACGTTGCGGCTGTCTCCTGGGTAAATTCCTCTTGTACTTGTCTTTGGTTATGTAGCTCCAGGGAGCTGGAGGGGCTCCCCACAGGAAACCAGCGTTGAATTTAATTAAACGCCATTTTCTGGGTGAGGCTTCCTGGCAATGATCAGCGGTTTCGTTTTGATGCTCAGCCACCGAACTGAGGTGTGAGTAGCTGGTGCAGGGGGTCTTGAGGCTCCCCCTACCCCTTCCAGGGAGGGAAGGGCTGCGCAGACAAGTGGCGCGACGGCGATGAATGACATTTGTTTGTTTGCTTGTTTCCTTATGTTTTTGGGGGAGTTCTGTCTGTTCGGTCTTTGGTTGCAATTTCTTACCAGGTGGGGTTTGTTTTGTTAAGCCTCCCTATCTGGGTGTCTAACCCCGGTCGATGGCAGACATGGAACGCTGCCAAACTCATTGGGGTTTCCATAGGCCATTGCTCCCTGTGCCTCTTTGAGGGGGGCCAGGTTCTCGCTCATCATCCCATTGATTCCATGGCAGAACTCCATTGACTGATGCTCCAGATTAATATAGCGTATCATTCTGATAGCTCAAGGGAGCCTCCGGGGCTCACCCAGAAAATGTTGTTTCATTACATTCAATGCTGGTTTTTTCCTTGGTTGCTCAGTGAGCAGCACACATCATACAATGAGTTTTCAGTTTCTGTTAGGGATGCATTGCTGGAAAACAAATAAGTACATGTGAATTCACAAATATAATCTAGCTGAGAGTACAGTACAAAAAATATTAAATTTAATTTCTTCATGGGATATCTTTGGATGCAGCAGACATTGCAGAAAGATTGAAAGGTGCCATGATTCAAAAATGTAATACACAGAGTCCATAAATTACAAAAAACATTAAAACTTATTTTTAACTATGTACATAATATACATTGATGCCAACTTCCAAGTAACGTACCCAGCTCATGTTTAGTGAAGTTTTGGATAAAATATTTATTCCTGTAATAGCAGATTACAGGAATAGTTGTAAATACTGAAGGCTCTCTGTACAGTACCACAATTTTGCAACCATGCACATCAATCCTATTCCTTCTATCAAAATTTACAGGTAAAAACATGCTTCTTAGCGTTAGAAATTTATCATTGGCTTTAACGTGAAGTTGTATGTGGTCCCTCTTTTCACCACTCGTGTTGATATTTAAATTTTTACTATTGGGGTATGTACCTCATAAACTTAGCAGATTGTGAATAGCTGACTAGCATTCAAATACAGAAGCTGCTTGATAATCCTTTATACGAATGTTTTATGATCTTTTGGATTAATTTACAGGAATTTTTGGAAGATGAGACGATACTTAAAGTAGGCGTGGGACCTCTTGAGGATAGCAACTTCCTGTTTATTGATTATGGTCTAAAGGTAACCCTTAATAAACTTATTATAATTATAATAATAATTCTTATTGTTTATTTGTAAAACAAAATACAAGACTGGGTGAATATGAACAACACTTTTCTATGCAAAACTAGTCTAGTTGTCCCCTAAGGTAAAATCTGCCGGGTAAACTAATCTAAAATCTAGAGTAAACTAAAATCTAAGATGAACATCGGTTAAGATGTTTGCTGCATCGGGTGCAATTGCATTCTGGGGGGCAGAGCATTGGAGTGGCCTGGTCAGAAAGGAGCATTTCTTCAACACCCAAAGTTCTATTTTTCTCCTTCCCTTTCCTCCCCATCCTCTTCATTCTCCTTCAGTTTCCACCCTTTCTGACCTTTACCCCCCCCCCTCTCTCCTCGACTCTCCTCCCCCTCTCCCACCCTTCTATATCTTTCCTCCCTCCCCCCCCTCATCTTCTCTCTTCCCCTTCTCTCTCCTTCCCTCTCTCTCAGAAAATATAATATTACGAAGAACTGAAAACTGTTAAAACTCTATGAATACACACCAGTGATTTCAGATTTAAAAATTGCTGGGGTTGCTATTGATGCCTATGTTTCTAAAAGGGTGGTCACTATAGTTGTCGATATTTATTAAAGGGTGGCACCTACCTTGACCTTGGGCACTGGGGCTGATCCCAACTGGTCTATGACATTCACCCTCCCTCTCCCCTCCACACATCTTAGAAAGTTAGGTAAGGCAAGGTTCAAACATCTGGCCTCCTAATTTGAATAGCCAGATAGGCATTCTATTTTATAGATAGATAGATATGAATTGGTGAATGAAGAGTGTAAATGTAAGAACTGTAGGGTATAACACACAATACTGGATCTGTGAAAGTATAGTTTTATATTTTTTTTGTGTGTTTTGGTTGTGGGTCGAAGTTATATTTTTAAGTTGTATGCCTAGATAATTATATTTTTTCTTGTTGATAATTTAGATAGTGTTAACTCTATGGCCCATCATCTTTGCTAATTTTTCAATTGCAGTACTGTACTATAATATGTAATAGGTCTTTTCTGTATCTTGTTCGAGTTTGTTGTTTGTTGACCTTTCATCCTTGTGAGAACATAATTTAGTATGTTGTTTACTGTGTTTTTTTAGGATATTTGGGTAAGTAGTTGACACGACAAGGGTAGTGTTGTCAGCAAGTAATAATGTCAGTTTGAGGTGTTGGGTTGGTTATGTATCTTTATGATAAATAGAAGAGGGCCAAATAAATTCTGCTTTATTTAACACCAATGTTTATTAGGAGTGTGGGAGGAAGTGTCATGTATTGCTGTGGTAAGATCAGATATACAGTAGTTATAAGAGGTAATTTCTAATGCTGTAATTCTGTAGCTTTAGCAGACGTTAATAACTTAAATAGTGTTATGGCCTTCCATAAATCAATGAATAGCACTGTTGTTTAATTTTATTAAAATCAATTGCAATTAAAGGTCAATTTAAGTTTCTTGGTTATGGCATTATTAGTGATTTTCCAAGTGTTGAAAGCCAAAGTAAAGTGCTTATTTCCAAACATAGTATATGCATACAATTTGTATTCCAAACAGGTACGGGGATGTGTTGACTTGCGTTACCTCGTGCTCCAGTGCCAGGAAACTGAACCAACTTGTGCAAATAAGTCAACAGAGGGAGCAAAGTCCAAAGGTGGCATGGGTCTGAATGCTCTAGCACAAAAGTACCTTGGACGTACCCTGGATAAGGACTGGCGTGTCAGGGCTAGTGACTGGGAGGCAGAAACTCTTACCAGAAGACAGGTATGACATTAATGCTTTGTCGTCTGGAAGATATGTTATTACTAGCTAATAGCATTCATCAGTAAATTAAAAGTTCATGCATACATAAGTTCACTGAAATCTGCATTATTGTTTTCTTTATTAATTTTCTCAGAATAATCAACTTCATGTGCTGAGCAAAAGCTAGTGAAATAAGGCTTCTATGTTGTATGAATGAAGTGTAGATAAAAGTAAAATGTCAGTGTGTGCATGATAATAATTTGTACACAGTGAACCATTACTATATATTTTCTGGAAGAAATGAGTGTGTGGAAATTGAGTGATAGCAAGGATACTGCTGAGAAATTGCATATGGAGAATTACTCACAGAAATCACAATAACGTGATGCATCAAATGAACAAATCCACAAGGGCCGTGACGAGGATTCGAACCTGCATCCAGGAGCATCCCAGATGCTACCTTAATTGACTGAGCTGATCCAGTAAGCTGATCCTTCTACGTCTGCTAGGTGTTCGGCTGTTGGCCCACCTCGATGACTGGTTGGAGTGGGCCCACAGCCAGTCTGCTTGTCTGCTTGTCAGAGGGGTGGTTCTTTCCCAGTTCACCGGGTTCAGGTTCTTGGTGAACTGGAGGAAGTTCCATCTGGTTCTGTCCCAGGTTCTGACCTGACTGGGTTTTGTTTGGGACTCTCGGACCGCTTCCATGTCTCTCCCTCCTGAGGCATTACTTCAGCTGCTATCCTGCCATCGGCTGTTTCTGGGGGGGGGGTCTCGGGTCGGGTCACTCGGAGGTTGCTAGTGCAGTTGTGAGGGAGTCTGACCTGCGCTGTGCTGGTTACCCCGCCGGGTTGGGTCTCGCTTTGGCGTCCATTCGGGTTCCTTTGGGGATGACCCTTCTGCCTCTCTTGCGATCGCTGGGTTCGGTCTCCGGGGGCCTTGCTTTGGTTGCTGAATCGCCGGCTTCCTCTTCGTTTTTTTTTTGGGGGGTCCAGTGCCTTGGCGCCTACCCGATCCCTTGCTCGGTGTGTTCACGGACGTGTCGTCTCTCGGCTGGGGCTTTGTGACCAGTGCTCACCAGGCCGACCAGGAACGGTGGGGTCCGCTCTTCTGTCAGGCTCACAGCACGATGCGGGAGTTCACAGCGGTTTTGGCTGTCGCTTCAGAGGGTTTGGGTCGCTCACGGTTCGATGATCAGGCTCCATTCGGACTGTTCTCTAGTGGTTCTTTGCTGAACCGTGGGGCTTCCCTTCAGTCCTTGCCTCTTTGGGGCTGGTCGCTTAGAGTGACTCGCCTACTGGTTTCTCGAGGTTTGGCTTTCCGTGCAGTTCATATCCGGGGAGTGTTCAACGTCCTGGCAGACGGCCTGCCTCAGTTCGTTTCCCTATTCATGGAATGGACAGTCGACACAGACTCCTTTAGTTAACACTGCCGGACGTATAGGCTCCCGGAGGTGGACCTCTTCGTACCGGCATGGTTTCGGTGTCTCCCGGTATATGTAGCGCCCTTCCCGGACTGCGGAGCGTTCGTGGTGGTCATCTTTCGGCAGGACTGATTGAGGTTTGGTTAGCTGTACCTCATCCCCCCAGTCCAGCTGTTGCTTCAGGTTCTGGCTCTGTTGAAATCTTATCCCGGGAGAGTAGTCCTCGTGGCCCCTTGATGGCCTACTCGACGTTGGTTTCAGGTGCTGTTTGCTCAGTGACCGAACCTGGGACGTTTTCTGTGGCTTCACCTCTTCCAGCGGATCGGATTGGTTGTACCCAGCTGGTTCAGTCTTCTACTCCGTTCTTCATGTCTGGTCTTTTTGACATGGTTTTGTCATCATTTGTATGATGATCAGGTGGCTTTGTTGATGGTGTCCCACCTGAGAGCTTCGTCTTTGTGACAGTATGAAGTTTCCTGGTGTTCTTTTCGCTATTTTCTCTCTTTGTTGGTTGTCTTTTATTTCTTGTTGGGTTGTGTTGTCCTTTCTTTCTTGGCTTTTTCAGGACTGTCATTTGATGCCATATACTGTCGCCTTGTATTGTATGGCGCTGGCAGAGCCGCTCCAGCTTGCGTTCGGGGTGGATGTCACTTCTACCCCATTCCATAAGCTTTCTCGTGCTTTGTTTCAGCTCCAACATGCTCATGTGCCACCTGAGCCATCCAGGTTCGTGGACAGGGTGCTCTCATATCTCTCTTCTTCTTCTCCTCGGTTCCTGGTGGCTCCCTCGGTTCAAGATTGCTTTTCCAAGGCTCTTTCTGTTGGCATTGGCCTCTGGGGGTCGGTTTGGTGAGCTTCATGCGCAGGGGTTTCTGCTCTTTCAGTCCTGGTAGTTAGAAGAGAGGCGGAAGCGTCCTGGTTCGGTTGTAGCCTTCTTCTTTTCTGGTGACGAGCGCAACAGCTTCTTTCCGGAGGGGTTCCTTGGGTCATTGATGCTTGGTTGGTCAGGCCGGGGGTGCATCATGTGTTGTGTTCGGTTACAGCTCTTCGCCGTTACCTGCGCGCCTCGGCTACTGTTGGCTGGGATGCGCTTTGGGTTAATTGGGTTTACCCCGTTCCCTGTTCCAGGGCTTGGGTCTCCTAGGTCGTCCGCAGAGTTATTAAGTCTAGCCAGCTTGCGGTCTATCGTTGTGCCCATGACGTTCGGAAGTTTGCTGTTTTGGCTCCCATCTTCGGCACTGTCTTTGGCTGCCGTTTGGGCTGATATTCGGGTGTGGGGATTTTGGAGGTCGAACAGGGTTCTGGCCGTCCTTTCTTTGGGCGACATTCCTGGTCCTAGGCGTTCGTGTGTGACTTTGGGTTGCAGGTTGCAGCCAGTTGTCTTGCCTTTGAGTTGAGGAGTGTGTGGTGGCCGCCTCCCGGGTATGTCCCTCTTTACCTTATCTTTGGTTATGTAGCTCCAGGGAGACGTAGGAGCTCCCCATAGAAAACCAGCGTTGAATGTAATGAAACGCCAGTTTCTGGGTGAGCCCTGGAGGCTCCCTGGCACTCTTCCTCTGAACGGCGGTTTTCACATTGTTTTTTATGCTTAGCCTCCGAACTGAGGTTGGGTAGCTGGGCCTCCCCCCTTTGTTGGGTGGGGGGGGCTGCGCAGAAGGCCAGCGGGTCGGTGTGGTATGACGTTTATTTGTATCCTTGGGAATTAAGAGAGTTCTGCCTTTTTGTTCGGTTTTGGATTGCAATTTTCTTATCATGTGGGGTCTGTTTTGTTATACAGTACCTACTGTTCTGGGTGCTAACTCCGGTTGATGGCAGACATGGAATGCCCTCAAGTACAAGGGTGTCTCCATAGGCTATTGGTCCCTTTACTTCTCTGAGAGGGCCAGGTTCTGGCTTGTGGTCCCTGTAGGCTGAATTCCTTTGACTAATGCCCTGGTTTAATGAATTGCATATTAGTCCAATAGCTCCAAGGAGCCTCCAGAGCTCACCCAGAAAATGGTATTTTATTTCATTCACCGCTTGTTTTTTCTGTGCTTCCTGCAGCTCTTCTCTGCCAGCAGTGGTGTCACCATGGTGGTGTACGAGGGGGCCTCGTAGCCTGGTGAGGGGGCCTCGTAGCCTGGTGAGGGGGCCTCGTAGCCTGGTGGATAGCGCGCAGGATTCGTAATTCTGTGGCGCGGGTTCGATTCCCGCACGAGGCAGAAGCAAATGGGCAAAGTTTCTTTCACCCTGAATGCCCCTGTTACCTAGCAGTAAATAGGTACCTGGGAGTTAGTCAGCTGTCACGGGCTGCTTCCTGGGGGTGGAGGCCTGGTCGAGGACCGGGCCGCAGGGACACTAAAGCTCCGAAATCATCTCAAGATAAGATAACCATCTAGTGTTGGACCGGCCCTAAGTGACTCGGTTGATTGAGTGGTTGTGCGGGAATCTGAACTTTGCATGCATGGTACATTCCTTGAGCAGAGTTTGGTTCCAGGTGCTGTACTGGTTCCACTGGTTCTGCCTGTTTTCACTCCTGAAGGGACCATCAGGTTCGGGCCCTATCTGCCCTTCGTCACTTCTTGCTTCACTGGCTTCCTCTTTGGACTTTTCAAGGTTTGGTTCTGTGACATCATCCTCATCTGTTGCTCGATGTCTTCATGGTTGCCTTGGGTTTGGGTTGTAGTTTTGTGACCAGCGCATGCCAAGTCTCCCATTGTTGGTGGTCAGGCGTGCTTTGTCGATAACACAGTATGGTACACAAGTTTGTACCAGTGTGGCAGGCCCTTCAGAGAGTGTTAATGCCTCTTTCCTTTCAGATAGGGTGTTAATGCTTCTTTCCTCCCTTCGGTTCATGTTTGCTGCTTCGGTCCGGGATATCTTTCTTAATTAAAGTGCTGTTTTTTGTTGTCCCTTGCCTCCAGTTATTAGGTTGGGGAGCTCATGCTTTGCTCCAGAGGCATGGATTCAGTGCTTTCGGCCTTGGTGGGTGGTATCTTCCAAGAAATCCTTTGGGTAATTGATGCTTGGTTTATCCAATCAAATGATCACATCATTTGTAGTCTCACGGTGGTGGTTTGCTCACGTTGTTGTCATACGCTATGCTTTGGTGGACGCAAGTTCATAGTTTTGGCTGCTGTGTTCACTAATATGTTATGGTCTGGCATTCGGGCTCTGGGTTTTTGAAGGTCTAACAAGGTTCTGGCATCTTGATATCTAGTTAATGTCCTTGGTCCCTTTTGGGCTTATATTGATCTGGGTTGAGTGTCCTGGCCTAGTGTCTTGTCTGCGTGATTATAGTTGCCACTCTCTCTTCCTCTCTGGTAAGTCCCTTATTTTCCATCTTCTTTGCTGCTAGCTTCAGGGAGCTACCAAGAGGCTCCTCTGTTTCTTCAAAAAAAACCCAGCATTGAATGTAATGAAATGCCTATTTCTGGTAGAGCCTTGGTGGCTCCCGGATTCCCCCCCCCCCCCCAACCAGGTGTGTCAGTTTGTGGTTTATCAGCTTCAGAGTGGCTAATAGCTGGGCCAGTAGCCTGGAGTGTAATGTAGTGTAATGTAATGTAATGGAATGTAATTCCATTACATTCAGCACTGGTTTCCTTTAAGCAAACTTATTTTAAATGCTAAATAAATGTTTTCCTATAAATATTATAATTTAAAAGATCATTGTGTTTAACGTTTAACACTTTATCTCAAATCCCCTTTGTTTACAGGAGAGATATGCTGCTGAGGATGCTCTGGTGGGTGTTCATATTTTGATGGTGTTGATGGAGAGACTGTGGGTGTCATCCTCCCCACTTGTCCCTTTTTTGCCACCAACAGCATGGCATCAGCACTTGTCCACAGCTGTACACCACACCTGTCAAGGGTTAATTGATGTCAGGTTCTCAAACAAGCAACAAGATACAGGTATGGTATATATCACAGTTTGAGATTACAGTTTCTGTACACGTGCAGTATGTACTGTATGTCCAAAAAATTCAAGTTTATTTATCACTACGGTACTGAACCTCATGTACTGCACATTAGTTTAATGTGACACTACTGTGGTGTATGTGTAAAAAAATAATTCCCCTAAAATATTTGTTTCATCTTGTTAAAATGCCTTCCCTGATCAGACATAATGTGAAACCTTCGAAAATACATTTACTTTATAACTTTAGCACTTCACTACAGCCAGTGTGATATCACTGATGGCTGGGCACTCATGCTGGAGACTGGAAGCTGGTCACGTGGGCAATTTAAGACCTGCGAGTTGCCATAAATTTGTCTTTTGCATTTTTATTACCACATTTATATACCTTTCTTATTGTTTTTCTGTGCTATCCAAACTGACTTGTGCCTGTTAGTGGTGTCATCAGTCACAGGAGTTCTATGCCTACCAGAGACCATGAGCCAGAACCTGGTTCCCTCAGAGGTGCAGGGAGCAGTGGCCATATGAGCACAACATTTAAAGTATGTCGTGTCTGCCATCGACTGGGGAGGGCACCCAGAAAGATAGGTGAAACGATACAAAACCCTAACTGATAAAAATTGCATCCTACATCCGAACAAAACCAAAGAACTCCCCCAAAAGAAGAAAAACAAACAAACAAGCAAAATCGTCATCCAACTAGTGCGCCAGCTCATTAGCACCCCCTCCTCAGGCGAGCAACCTGCTCACCACTCCAGTTCATAGAATGATGAAAACTGCTGACCGGAGGGAGGGAGGGTGTCGGGAAACCTCTGGGGCTCGCCCAGAAAATGGCATTTCATTACATTCAACACTGGTTTTCTGTGGGGAGCCCTGTCGGCTTCCTGAAGCTAACAACCCACAGGTAAGTAAAAGATGGACTTGTCAGGGCAGGCGGTAGCACAGCAGGTCTCAAGATGATGATGAGACACTAGGCTGTGTCAGACATCCTAAAGCAACACAATACTGGAGAGGGCCTGACACGTTCACAAGATACCTGGTGGCCAGGACCCTGTTCGATCTCCAAAACCCAATACACATATTGGATTTTGGAGATACATACATACAACCCAATGTCAACCCAATGCATATTACCAAAACAGAGGCCAGAGCAGCATACTGACGCACATCATGGGCACGAAGGTAGACCGCAGGCTGGCTAGACTTCATTACACTATGGACAACCTGAGAAACGCTAGCCATGGAACAGGGAACCAGGGAAACTGGATCCACCCATAGCACGTTCAGACACTGAAGCAGTAGCCCACAGGCAGTGACATAAAACCACCACCGGACATAAGACATGATGCACCCCTGGCCTAACCAACCAAGCATCCACAACAAACGGACTCCTCCGGAAGCCAGCCAGCTCATTCTTCACCAGAAAAGAATGAGGCTGTAAACGATAAAAATGCCCACCAGGGCCAAAAGAGCAGAAACCCTTGCGCCGAAGATAAGCATGAAACTCTGCAACTCAACCCCCAGAGGCAAAAGCCAACAAAAACAAGGCTTTCAGAAAACAATCCCGAACCGAAAGGGCCACAACAAACAGAGGGGAGGAAAGAAAAGAGAGCACCCTGTCCAAAGACCAAGATGGCTCAAACTGTGCATGAGCAGGCCACAGGTTAAAAAAGGCACGGGAGAGCTTGTGGAACGGAGTAGAAGTGACATCCACTCCGGACACTAGCTGGAGGGGTTCAGGCAGCACTGCACGAGAAGAAGTGACAGTATTTGGCATAAAATGCCGGACCAGAAAGAGCCAAGAAAGAAAGGACAAAACAACCAGCACAGACACAGACAACACCCTCCAAAGGGAAAGGAAATGGCAGAAAGATGCCAGGAGACTACATACTGTTGCCGAGACAAAGACTGCAGGTAGGACACCATCAAAGACGCCACCTGATCACCATACAAGTGGCGATACATCCGCATCAGAAAAACCGGAGATGAAGGGCGGAAGAGTAAGCCAAACCAGCAAGGTACCTCTCTGGTCTGACCTGCTGAAGAGGCGATCCGCGGAAAGACTACCGGGTTCGGACACCGAGCAAGCAGCACCTGAAACCAAGGCTGGGCTGGCCACCATAGAACCAAGAGAAGCACCCCTCCCCCGATAGGATTCAAGCCGGGCCAGAACCCAAGGCAATAGGTGGATCAGGGAATAAAAGTACAGGAACCCCCCACTTCGACCAGTCCTGCCAGAAGCGTTTAACACGATGGCCTCACAGTGGTGCCACGTATAATGGGAGATGCCAAGACCATGCCGAGGCGAAGAGGTCCACCCATGGGCACCCGTACATCCGACAAAGCCAAAGAAAGGAGGCGGAGTCGACCATCCACTCCATGGAAAGGGGAATGAAGCCCGACAGGCTGTCCACCAGGACGTTGGAGACTCCCCGAATGTGAACGGAGCAGAGAGCTAAAACCCAAGAACTTAGCAAATGAGCTACCTGAAGCGACCTGCCTTAAAGAGCCATGGACTGCAGAGACTCCCTTCCATCCCCTCCAGTTGAAACAATGACACCCCCCCCCACACACACACACACACACACACACACACACACACACACACACACACACACACACACACACACACACACACACACACACACGCACACACGAGCGTAGCTCTCATCCTGTAACTACACTTAGGTAATTACACACCTCACTATCTAATTACTAATCACTAATTAATCACTAATTACGCCTCACTATCGGGAATCCCGGGTTCTACTCCCGGGCAAGACAGAAATTTATTTTGTGGAAAATATGCTAAAGGAGCTCGGTAAGAACAAAGCAGCTGGCCCAGATGGAGTTTCACCATGGGTTCTGAGAGAATGTGCATCTGAGCTCAGCATTCCACTTCACCTGATCTTTCAGGCATCCCTGTGTACAGGAATCGTAGCAGACGTGTGGAAACAGGCTAACATAGTTCCAATCTACAAAAGTGGCAGCAGGGAAGACCCCCTCAATTATAGACCTGTATCATTGACAAGTGTAATAGTGAAAGTATTGGAAAAACTAATCAAAACTAAATGGGTAGAACACCTGGAGAGAAATGATACAATATCAGACAGACAGTATGGTTTTCGATCTGGAAGATCCTGTGTATCGAATTTACTCAGTTTCTATGATCGAGCCACAGAGATATTACAGGAAAGAGATGGTTGGGTTGACTGCATCTATCTGGACCTAAAAAAGGCTTTCGACAGAGTTCCACATAAGAGGTTGTTCTGGAAACTGGAAAATATTGGAGGGGTGACAGGTAAGCTTCTATCATGGATGAAAAATTTTCTGACTGATAGAAAAATGAGGGCAGTAATCAGAGGCAATGTATCGGAATGGAGAAATGTCACAAGTGGAGTACCACAGGGTTCAGTTCTTGCACCAGTGATGTTTATTGTGTACATAAATGATTCTACCAGTTGGTATACAGAATTATATGAACATGTTTGCTGATGATGCTAAGATAATAGGAAGGATAAGAAATTTAGATGATTGTCATGCCCTTCAAAAAGACCTGGACAAAATAAGTAGATGGAGCACCACTTGGCAAATGGAATTTAATGTTAATAAATGTCATGTTATGGAATGTGGAATAGGAGAACATAGACCCCACACAACCTATATATTATGTGAGAAATCTTTAAAGAATTCTGATAAAGAAAGAGATCTAGGGGTAGTTCTAGATAGAAAACTATCACCTGAGGACCACATAAAGAATATTGTGCAAGGAGCCTATGCTATGCTTTCTAACTTCAGAATTGCATTTAATTACATGGATGGCGATATACTAAAGAAATTGTTCATGACTTTTGTTAGGCCAAAGCTAGAATATGCAGTGGTTGTGTGGTGCCCATATCTTAAGAAGCACATCAACAAACTGGAAAAGGTGCAAAGACATGCTACTAAGTGGCTCCCAGAACTGAAGGGTAAGAGCTACGAGGAGAGGTTGGAAGCATTAAACATGCCAAAACTAGAAGACAGAAGAAAAAGAGGTGATATGATCACTACATACAAAATAGTAACAGGAATTGATAAAATCGACAGGGAAGATTTCCTGAGACCTGGCACTTCAAGAACAAGAGGTCATAGATTTAAACTAGCTAAACACAGATGCCGAAGAAATATAAGAAAATTCACCTTCGCAAATAGAGTGGTAGACGGCTGGAACAAGTTAAGTGAGAAGGTGGTGGAGGCCAAGACCGTCAGTAGTTTCAAAGCGTTATATGACAAAGAGTGCTGGGAAGACGGGACACCACGAGCGTAGCTCTCATTCTGTAACTACACTTAGGTAATTACACTTAGGTAATTACACACACACACACACACACACACACACACACACACACACGCACGCACGCACACACGAGCGTAGCTCTCATCCTGTAACTACACTTAGGTAATTACACACACACACACGGAGACCTGGTAGCCTGGTGGATAGCGCGCAGGACTCGTAATTCTGTGGCGCGGGTACGATTCCCTCACCAGGCAGAAACAAATGGGCAAAGTTTCTATCACCCTGAATGCCCCTGTTGCCTAGCAGTAAATAGGTACCTGGGAGTTAGTCAGCTGCCACGGGCTGCTTCCTGGGGTGTGTGTGTGTGTGTGTGGTGTGGGAAAAAAAATAAGTACAGTAGTTAGTAAACAGTTGATTGACAGTTGAGAGGTGGGCCGAAAGAGCAAAGCTCAACCCCTGCAAACACAACATTTGTACTGCATGAGTATCTATCTATATTGGTGACTATAGACTACAAATCTATAAGTTCATTTGTTGATGGTGTTTTAAATTGAATAACTGAATCTATGTTCATTTGTTGCACTGTTAATGGAAATAATTCTTGGAAGCATTTGAGAATAAAAAAAATGTCATCATAGCATTGGTATTCCTGTACTATTCATTATGAAAACATCACTGGTTTTCTTCACTCTTTCACACACCATTCCAAATTTCTGCGTGTTGCTACGAACATCTGCATCTCTACCACTGCACTGTGTCTTTCATGTACATTGTGTTGACTCATTTGTCAAAATGAATTTTAAATTTAGACCAAATTTATTTCTTATGTGTTTATTTATGTTATAGGTACATTTCAGAACAGTCAGCCATGTCTTCCCCTGAAGCAGAAGGTATCCACGCGAGGACACCCAGTGAGGAAGGGTCCCTTGTATTACAATTGTCAGCTTAGAGCTCCAGATGATGAACCATTGTGTACAATTGACCCCAACAAAGCTCAGTGGTATGTGGAAAAAGGTCTTGGGGATTTAGTCAGTGAGGAGCCACTTGTTGTACGCTTGAAATTTGAACCTGCAGGCCGTCCCCAAACTGAGAAGGATGATGGCATGTTTTACCTTCAAAAGCGGAAGAATATCTGTGTCGTTTGTGGTAAGGATGAATCCTATATCAGGAAGAATGTGGTGCCTCATGAATATCGTAAACATTTTCCAGCTATATTGAAGCATCATCAGAATCATGATGTGCTGTTACTTTGTTTTTCTTGCCATAGACAAAGTAACATGCAGGACAATATTTTTAGATCTGAATTGGCTAAGGAATTTAATGCCCCTATTGGAATAGAACAAAATTTCAAAGTGGCTGTTGATAATTCTCATAAATTTGTAAGAAATGCAGCTCGAGCTTTGTTAAAGAATCGTGATAACATTCCAGCAAAAAAGGTCTCGGAAATGGAAAAACTTGTAAAAGATTTCTATAAAGTTGATGTGATTTTGTCAGAGCATCTTCAAGATGCAGCCAACATAGATGTGAATGTCCTAAATGATGGTTTTCAAGCTCATGGACAAAAAATATATGACGTGTATGAGAAAATTGGGCTTGTGAAGCTTGAGCAAAGATGGCGACAACACTTTCTCGACAATATGAAGCCACAGTTTATGCCAGAGTGTTGGTCAGTAAAGCATAATGTCTATAAGATGGGCCTTAAAATGGGACGCTTACCACTTGATCATCCCAATCGTCTTATCTATAAAATGGCCCTTGTAGGTTCAGAAGGAACCATTGACATTCCTTATACTCCTCGGTCAAGTCAAGAAACCATGCCCTTGGACCATGCATCAGCTAGTAAGAGTGCTCCTCCAGAACACACTGTGCAACCTTTCCAATCTCCTACTAATGGGGACATAACATTTGGGAATCCTTTGACGAATGCTCATTATGCCACCTCAAAAAATTACAGTATGACAGAGGAAGCAGCAGTAGCAAGCAGTCATAATGAAAGTTCTAGAATAGTTGTTTCTAATGAGAAAGGTAAAATGACTGCTGGTGATATTCATGCCCCTTGTATTTTAGGTCGTGCAAAATCAGAAATAATGGAAGTATCGTACTCTAAACTGCATAACGGAGAAATACATAATGAAAAAAAGGATGCTGATACGTCTGAAGATTCTGATGCTGATGTAGTTATTGAAGATGTTTCTGAGGAAAAGGTTTGAGCTCTAGCAAGCAAAATGTTTATTGTTAATCTCTGCAGATTACACAAGTCCTTTTCCTGTCATTACACTATGCATTGCTTCAATGTGTAGTTACGTACGCGTTAACTTGAGGTTATGTTTGGTGAAGAAACATGTTATTGTTTCCTATTAAACATTCTTGATCCAGATTCTTTTGGGAAATACCGATACAATTAATCTTTTACAGAGTATATCTTATACCTAAGTTATTATATTTAAAGTATACTGCCATCTATAATATTACTAAAAACAAGTATTTTTATTTAATTTTGGGAATAAATAATTGTATAGGTATTCCCATTTGTTATATTAAGTATGTTTTACTAAACTTTAAATCTAATTCTTATTAAATAAAAAATGCCTAAATTGTGTGAGAGAACTGTTTAATGTTGAAATTTGTATATGTTTACATATACAGTACAGTTTTGTAATACAATACTATAGCATTTTATAAATTTTTAAATTGAAATAGTCTAGCATTTGATTAGCTTGTTAAGTAAGTTCATAGCACAGCTATTGAAGCTGGTAAGAGGTACCTTATTGCATTATCCTAGATTGATTTATCCTTCTGTTTTTCATGTGCTGTTTTTGTGTTTCTCCCGTGTGATTCTATTGTGATCTTTATTAGGTATTCCCTGTATGGGAATACTTCATAATTTTGTCTTATTTTTACTGTTTTTGTCAAATGCTGTGTCTTGAGAAAACCTTTAATTACCTTACCTTACCTTGAGAATACCTTTTCATTTTGTACTTTACTGTACTTTAAATTTGTCAATACTGTACTGTTCAACTATTATCAGTGAAGGGTTCACTCCGGTGCCCTTCTACTGTTTTCAGGTAAAGGTATTTATCGATAGCATTTGCCTATGTACTTTGCTATTTTTTTTACTAGTGTTTATTATTACAAATGATAGGATTTGCTTCTGTGCACATTTTGAAAAAAAAATCACTTTGAAAAAGTGCATTTTTAATACTGTATTTTTATCTTTACAAAAAAAAAAGTGAAAGGAAGGGTGCATTGTAAAATTGAAACCCAGGATCACTAAAAATCTTGACCTAAATTCTTATTGCCATCACTAGACACCATCATCATGTCACCATCACCAAAATCATATAATGCATGGTTAAGAAAGGTAGGTCATATTTTAAAACCACAGTAATAAATTCTTTATTATATTTTTTCTTTATTTTTAATACAAATGCAAATTTCTACATAGCTTCATAGTCTAAATGTTTATGCCAGATATAATGTAGGGTTTAGGTTCAGAGTCTAAATATTTATGCCAGATATAAAGCAGGGTTTGGGTAATAAAATATTCTGTCCTTAAAATGTGTAAAAGCAGGTTTTAAATTTAAATTTTGCCCCGAGAGGGGAGTTTATTGAGCAGCGCCACTCATCCTGTGAGTGGACCTACTGCCATAGCAGCATGTACAACACTCCCCCAATAGGAAGAAAACCCGGTAGTTGTGACATCGCTGACATCGTAACAAAAAAATGCTACATACATTGAACAATATATTGAAACCTACAAAATGATTTTGCAAGTCAAATTGTAACAAATGCAATAAAACAATATATTTTAAAATCTGAGTATAAAAAACATTTTTATGCAAGTTTCATACCAACACTTGTGGAATATGTAAGAAGTGATGTTAAATGTAAATACTGCAGCATGTGGTGTTCAGCTGACTAGAGGACTGTTGTGACCTTGAGCAGTAGCTGCGGTATGGTTGCCATCTCAGTGTTTATAGAGCTGGTGAAACATGTGACATCTTTGCACAGTGCTGTGCACAGTGGCAGTTTTGTAACTAAGGAACTTTATCTAAGGTCTGATAATTGCTTGTTGGAAACCAAGAACAGAGATGTTACCAGAAAATGTACAGTGGAACCTCGAGTGACGAGCGGCTCCAGTTATGAGCATTTCGAGTAATGAGCAAGCCAGTCACAGAAAATTTGTCTTTACTGACAAGCTTTCGCTTGATTAGCGAACATTCCCAATGGTTCTCAGACACCGACGACGACAGTTTTGTTGTTGTTTTGCAAGACGAGTTTTCCACATGACGAGCTCGGTGCCGGAGCGGATTAAATTCGTTAATCGAGGCGCCACTGTAGTTGTGAACAATTGTAACTAAATAACAGGGAGTTTCAGTTCAATAATAAATGTAAATATGACTGAGTGGGATGGGAAGGGAGGCTTATAACTTATAACCAAAAGTACACTTATAAACATTAGATTTAAGAAAACTTTATTAGGTAATGCTACAAATCCTTGAAGTATTTTTAAAAATGTGTAACTGGGTTTCATATTTTTCCTACTAGCTTTGGCACATTTTTCTGGAATGTCACAACACCATATTACTATGGACATCCTACACTGACACTAATTAAATGGGTGTTGGGTGCATGATAGGTAAATAGAAATTGAATGTAACAAGTTGAACACAAATATAAATTGCTTATAACTAAAGAACTTAGTGTACTGTATTTCACTACTTAAGAGTATTAGAAGTGTTAATAATGGAAGAGCATGAGTAGCAGAAACATAGGAAACAATGGAGGAGACAATGAGGTGGTTTGGGTCCGACACAGCTCCAGATTCTTAGATACATCCCTCACCAGCCTCAGAGTCGGACACCCCTGTCTAACAGCACACCTCCACTGTTTCCAATTGACTGCTTCTTCCTGTTGCCAGTGGTGCCCTGAATAGAAAAACATTGTAGAGTATCTTCAATACTGTCCAAAGATTTATGCAGCATGCACGAAATTCAAGTGTACAGTACCCTCAAAAATTTACAAATCTCCTGCCTCACTATTCCAATTCTATTTAGCTTGCAGAATTAATTTTTGAACATCATTACTATTCCCATTGAGCACTATGTTAGCCTTGGTTAAAAAAAATAGTGAGTGGGGGGGGGAGGATAGAGAGATTGAGAGAAAGGCAAAGCCAGGAAGAGATACTCAAAGGAAAGAATTGTTCTGAAAGGCAAAGCCAGGAAGAGATACTCAAAGGAAAGAATTGTGGGGGGGGGGGGGATGAGAGGGAAAGAATTTGTATATTTAGCAGTGTTTTATAATGATGTTTGTATCGTGAGATAAGCTGACATGGGAGACATGATACATCTGTATTAATTTCTTTTCTAACTGTATATATTACTTTTATGAACTGGTCTCATTAACTTGTTCCCCTGGAAATTTCACTGAATTAAGGAAGCTGTCATGTAGATTCTTCCTTATATTGAACATTTCAGCTGCCTTTATTTGTTGTAAAAACACTGGGGACATTTGCAACACTTGATGAAGGATTGTGTGTGCTTATTTGTCCATCCTATAAAGGAATTAACTCATTTGCTCACAGTACAAAATGAAAATGTATGAAAGATTGTGTATTACCTCAACAAGCATATACATACTAGTAGAAAAAGAGACAGATGCAAGTAAGTGTACAGGGAAGAGAGGAGAATAGGAAACCAGACGTTAGTGAAAGGACATAGTGGAATGTAAGAATATGCAGCAGACTACCAAGTGGTGCTGTTTTACATGCAACCAGAGAAAGAATAAATCTTTACTTTCCACACTGTAGTGCTCTTATGAAGGAACGAAGCCACACGACTATTATGTGGCATACATAGCCAGCCTCTCCGTTACCTAGTGTATCGAGTTATTACTTTTCTTGTAAGTGGTGACTGCCTTACTTGTTTATTAGCCTAGCTGGGGTTGTAGAATTCTTTAGCAATTATATAAATTGGTGCTTCAGTACTTAAGGGTAACGACAATGTCTAGGAAAGACACTGTGAGGCTTATGTTTCATAGAAGTGAGGCTCCCAGAAGGAAGAGCGCTTTACTGAAAAGAAACTGATACATTTATTAACTTGTTATTCTCACTTTATTAGCTTGTTCTATAATCTTTTATTGGTAGTTTGTTCCATTAACTCCAGTAATATTATGACCTAATGCCATCTATCAACATATTAAATCCTTTTCTGTGGTTCTAAATATCATAAATCTAATTGTGACAACAAATGAAAATTCATTGAATTAAATGTTGGTTAATTTTGCTATTGGTGTTATTATCTATTTTCCACAAAATATGATAAGATTCTGAAACAAAACACAAGTGTGTAAGACAGAAGGTAGAAGAAAATGTTTCACTCTTATATCGCTATGTAATACTTATTTTAGCATGTAAGAAATCTTCAGGAAAAAGATATCTTCTTTATTTTTGTATATATAAATCATATTAAAAACAGTTACTGCAGTTTTTTTTCAAGGTTCATACTGTATGTTTGATTCCTGCTAGTACAGTAATTTAGATTTTAATTCTTAATTTTAATGCTTTGCAAGATTGTACATTGTAATTGTACAATGATCTATTTGCAGTTAAACTGCATTCACAAAAAATTAAAAAAAAAAATTGTTGTATTAAGGTGCTGGTCACAGCTTATAAGGTTGATGTTAGTAAGGATTGCATCTGTTGTGTTGTAATTTGTCTGTTTATTTTATTATACAGTATTTACCTAACCAGAGAGAGAGATGTATTACAGTAATGAAATACACTCTCACTAACTGCTTATGCTTGGACCTACAGGTTGCAGGGAAGTGAGCTAGGCCTCTATACCATTGTGCCTTCATTTATTAATTATGAAATATGCCAGTTATGTCAAATGTACACGCTTAAAACTGTAGATTTGCTGTAGTTATAAGTGAAAGAACCATTCCCCAAATGCTGTGCATATTATGGGGGTTCTCATTTGTAATTACATATTCTTGTATAGCTTTAATGTACAAATTATGTGGAATAAAACTGTATCACTTAGAAATGAGGATTGGTGCATGGAAATAACTATGTAAGAACAAAACAAACCCAAAAATCTGCACATAGAGGCAAATAGGACTGTTAGCAACAAATAACTATAAATATGCCTTAAGATACACCATATATCTTTTGTATTTCATGTACATTGTAAAAAATGGCTAAATAGACTGGGAAGATTTGATGTGCAACAATTCATTATCTTGGGATTGGCTTTGTCTGGAACAGATATTTAAGTTAGAATTGGATAATTGTACTTGCCTAGATGTGCTTGCAGGGTCGAGCTAGGCTCCTAGCCTCACCTTCTGAACGTTCTTAGATTAATTCAATGACTCATTTCCCATGCTTTTATCAAATTTACATTTAAAATTTTGAATCGAATTAGCTTCAACGACTTCTGCATCTAACCTATTCCTTTTATTAGCAGCTCTAACACTGAAAAAGTTCTTCCCCGATGTCTCTGTCTCATTCTTTCTATGACTCATTTACGTCTCCAGTTTCCATCTGTTTTGTGTGTGTATGTAATTACCTAAGTAATAGTAATTACCTAACTGTAATTGCAGGATGAGAGCTACGCTCGTGGTGTCCCATCTTCCCAGCACTGTCATATAATGCTTTAAAATTACTGACAGTTTTGGCCTCCACCACCGCTCCACCTATTTTGTTTCAACCATTTAGCACTCTGTTTTCAAAAGTGAATTTTCTTATATTTCTTTGGCAGCTTTGTTTAGTTAGTTTAAATCTATGACCTCTTGCTCTTGAAGTTCCAGGTCTTAGAAATTCTTCCCTATAAATTTTATCGATTCCTGTTACTATTTTGTATGTAGTGATCATATCAATAGGCCTCTTTTTCTTCTATCATCTAGTTTTGGCATATTTAATGCCTCTAACCTCTCCTCGTAGTTCTTGTCCTTCAGTTCTGGGAGCCATTTAGTTCCATGTCTTTGCACCTTTTCCAGTTTGTTGATGTGCTTCTTAAGATATGGGCACCATACAACCACTGCATATTCCAGCTTTGGTCTAACAAAGCTTGTGAACAATTTCTCTAGTATTTTGCCATCCATGTATTTAAAAGCAATTCTGAAGTTAGAAAATGTAGCAAAAGGAGGAGGGGTGCGTGTGTGCATGATCGGCTACCTTTGCTTGCGGGGGTTGAGCTTCGGCTCTTTGGTCCCGCCTCTCAACCATCAAACCTCTGGTGTACAGGTTCCCGAGCTTCTTGATTTGAAACTGTGTATGGAGTCACCCTCCACCACATCACTTCCTGGTAAGGAAGTTACTATTTTGTGTGTATACATATACAAAATACAAACATACTATAATGTGTATTCACCTAGTTGTACTTCTGAGGGTTGAGCTCTGCTCTTTCAGCCCGCCTCTCTACTGTCAATCAACTGTTACTAACTACTAACTCATTTTTTTTCTCCCCTCACACACACACACACACACCCCAGGAAGCAGCCCATAACAGCTGTCTAACTCCCAGGTATCTATTTACTGCTAGATAACAGGGGCATCAGGGGTGAAAAAGAAACTGTCTATTTTGTTTGTTATCACCGGGGATCGAACCCGGATCCTAGGATTATGAGTCCAGAGCACTGTCTACTCAGCTATCAGGCCCCCCCTGTGGTCGGGGGGGGGGCGCTGATAACAGGCACATTATAATGTGTGTATGTATGTACGTATGTGTATGTATGTATATGTGTGTATATATGTGACTCCTTACCAGAATCATTGATTACATATATGGGTTTCATATATACAATAATATATAA